TTCGATGTCTACACAGACATCCGCAGTCTTCTACCAGCATACACATGGGCGTTTCCACAGTGGGGACGCATCCCACGTGCCTACATTTTACCGAAAAGAAAGAAGCAATTCACAAAAGGACGTCCTATAGTGGCGTTCATCGACACCATGGGCAGGAAATTATGGGAAGCCTTAGCAGACGTACTGCAGCTGATGACCCTTCAAGCATGCCCAAACTCCTTTCACCAAGGAGATGGGATAACCCAGCTCAAACAAACAGCGCTCTTTTTGCATCAGCGCAGAAAACTACACGATTCAACAGATTACATCCTGTACAATCAGGATTTAGCTGGATTCTTTACATCGGTCGATCAAAGCCGGTTTCTTTCAGCATACAGCATCATGGTTCGATGGTACAGAGAGAAGAACCCACTGCACTCTTCCAAATTCTTCATTGACCACTCACAGAAAGACCCCACACATCGAGTTCACAGAGGTAAAAGCAAACAAAAGCAGCAGGAAGCCTCCTCCGGCAACAAACTTTGCATACAATTACAACACATACCACAACTCATCATTGCAGTGCTCAGGCTCAACTATTTCACTGTCGGTACATCACTCATTGAGCAATTTCGTGGAGCACCTATGGGCTCGCCCTGCAGCCCAGCTTTATGCAACATCGTGGTTGCTGTAGAAGAGCAGTGTTGGCACCACACATACAAGCAACTTTTCACGAACCACAAGCATTTTCCAGACCACAACAAGCAGGATCAAGCTTACTTTTTTGCTACCAGATACGTCGACAACCGCGTCCTTCTATTGCCTGCACAGCTGACCCGACTGCCTCCTTTTGCACAGCTTACTGACGCATCTTTCTACAAACCACCGGTTCAGCTTGAAACTGAACCGGCCAACATTTTCCTGGGTTTCGCCATAAACCCTCAGCACAGCAGCCTTACGCATCACTGCACTTTACACAAGGCGGATATTTTACACCCACAGTCGGCGACCTCTGTTGCAACACTTCGCAGCAGTTTCAGGCCCGCACACGCATGGTACGCAGAGTGACAACACCATGCAGCGAGGCCACATCAGCCATTCGAGCCATGCGCGATCTGTACATCGCTGCCGGCTATACTGATCAACAGCTGTAAGCAAAAACACTGTGCCAAATTGCAGTGCGTGCGTTCAGAGCCATGCAACTTTGCAACATGTGAGACGCCTTGTACCAATACAGTGTTTCCCGCAGCCATTTACAGGGACTAACTGAGGCATCATCATGTATAAAAGTGCCATGACTGGCAGATTGCAGCCGAGCCACAAAGCGCTGAGCGGCCGTCCTCGGCCATCCATCTCCAAGCATAGCAGACGCCGCAACGAGCAGCCTGCGGTTGGCAGCCACACTCAACAGCCGGCGCCTTTACGCTCTCAGTTCCTACGTGTCGCAGAAGACGAAGATTTCCAAGATTACCAAGAGCAACACCAAGATCCGCAAGAACAGCAGGACGCAGCAGTGGCTGCACCGGCGACTCCACCATTTCCACCTCCGCCGCATTCTGGTCCGGATTCATCGGCTGAGATTATTGAGTTACTAACACAGTTTCACAATTCGTTGCTTGAATCCAATGCCAAGCTGGAACGCTTGATACAGCAGGCCACAACGGTGTTGACTACTCAACACGAAGCCACCACTGCCATTATGGCATCATGCAAACAGCAACTTGATATTCTCGAGAGCCTTATGAGGCAAAACACACCAGACTGGTCCTGAATGTGCTGCTGAATCCGCTGGTATAAAAAGAGCCAGGTAGTGCACACCTCTTGCATTTGACCATTTGTTGCTTGCAGATACGCACCATAACTTCGCCTTCTGAAGTTTTATGCCTCAGAGTGACACCTATTCGAATCCCGACATAGAGCCATGAGCGAAGCATCTTTTCCGACAAACACAGCGACTACAGCTTCGCCACCCATCGATGAGGCACGACGTGAAGCTCTCTCCGAGGCCATCATGGAGATTTTGACACAGCATCGGGACTATGATTCAGAAACTGGAAGCGAACCTTCCACATTCAGTGACGGGGCTCTACGCGACCAATTAGCCGAGTTTATTCTTCAAACAACTCGGCAGATCACAGAGCTAAAGCAACGAGTGGAACGACTCGAAGCTTCGCAACAATAGGTGATCAACCATGCTCATACCGTCATCGGGCACATTGCAGCGGACGGTGAAAACAATGATAGTCGTTTTCGCCAAGTGTTACAGTCAGCGCACTCACTTCACATATGTTTGTTATGCAGCGATTGATGCACTCTTTCCCGCAGCATTTTGAAAAACAACCAGTTGTGTTAGCATCATGGAACAACGCACCAGATCGCGATCTCCGACGGCATCACAATGGAGATGGCATTGGGCCACTAACGGCTCTTCATGGTGGCGAGAGTACTTTATCGCATCTCAAGAGTGGATACGAAAGCATTCGGAGCAGCCTGATCAGCGTCCGACATCAACGACTCCTACCCAAAAGGAGACAGTATCTACTACATCAACTCCTACATCCAACAAGCGAAAGCGATCAAGAACTCCGTGAGCAGCATAGCTGAGTTGACAATTAGATGCATATTTGCTGCCCCCGGCAGCCAACAATCACACAGCAAAGCTGTGCTGCGAACTCCATCACATCTGATGAGGTTCAACATTAAGAGCATCATGTCGAAAGTTCATGCAGGTCTGCGCGGTTTATCAATTGATGTCTCTGTGTGCCTCTCTCTCTCTTCTGAAGTTCTACGTTTGCACATGCCTCAATGCAGTTGTGACTCCGCAGCCATTTCTCTAACCTACAGTTGCTGAAACACATTAGGACAGTTTTGCACACAAATGGACGAGGATGACGACAGCAGCCTATGGGGATCCGAAGAGATTGATGCCTTCTTGAGGAAGGACGACACCACCAGATCCTCCCATGCAGTCAGCCACACACACAAGCAAAAGACAAAGCACACAACGAGGACAAAAAAGAAGAAAGACAACAAAGACAAAAAGGACAAAACAGTCAAGAAAACAAAGAAAACACGCAACATCTCACCACCATCCCAATCCACAACACAGCAACGACGCCAACATCCACATACTACAAGACGAAAGAGGACACGCTCTTCGCATTCAACATCATCAGCGTCACCTACGGCAACGTCACACATGGCTGAGGACCCACACCGGTCTCCATCTCGAGATCCTTGGTCTTCTGACTCGATTGCACCTTACGATATTGTGCATCCTACTATTCAGCACAAGCGGTCCAAAACCGCTTGTGCAAAAATGCTGGTACGTGCAGGATTCAGGTGTCGCTGCCATTTCAAGATCATGAGTGACTGTCCCAACAGACTCGCTGTTGGACCCTAATTCTCAGGACGGATTAGGGCTGCAAGATCCGCTAAGCGTGACAAAAAAGCCTGCGCATGCGAGTGTCAGGACGACACCGCTTTGTTGTTTTGCCAGAGCACACATCATGTCCATGTTGATTTGCATTCCTTGTTCAAGCTTTTGTCGGTTGGTAGCAGCAAAAATATGACAAAGCGAAAGGCTGCCGAGGCCGGCCTTCCATGGTACTCCATGGCAGGACAATGTTTTCGGATGACTGTTGAAATTCCACCCGACCGCATCACCAGAGACAAGCACATGTTCTTACACGTGGTGCTTTGTCTGGGCGACAACGTTCTCCAAGCACGCAAGATCTTCTCCTACCGCATCAAGGAGATCACCGGCAGAACTCCTAAAATCCCAGCTTTCTTCTTCGAACAAAACCGACGACGACTACATGATTGGGATTCAGTCACCACATTAGCCACGTTGATGCCGGTGCTTTTTGTTAGAACCTGTTCGGATCAGGAAATACGACAATCACCCGATCGCTATTGACAGCGAGAAAAGTGCGCCATTCACTCCTATTGCCGTGCATCAGACCTTTCACTCTACTTGAAGCATGTACGCCCCATTGGGGCTGTGTGTGTGTGAACCTCCCTAGCACATGGGAGCAGAGGGTCACTCCTACACTGTTTGCAATTTCGCTTTTCAACATAATCCGACATTGGACATTTACCAAATCAACTGTTGCAGGGGGATCAGGCTTCCAGTGACTGACCTGATCCAACGAAGCTAGGTCACTGGAAGGGAAGTGATTGAGGACGCTCAGTCATGTACCTGCACAATTTTCGGCAGCCCCCTGTGGTGCCAAGATTAGTCTGAGGACAGGCCCCCTGTGGTGTCCAGATTAGACAAACAATTTGTACGGTTGCCGCAATCTGACAAACAGTTGCAACATGAACAACATTCCTCTTTTTGTCCTTTGCACTCGTACTCTTGGCCGAATCCATCAGTGTGTGCAAGGTGTGAAATGTGTGTTTGTGTGTGTGCGCGTGTGTGTGTGTGTGTGTCATGTGTGTAATATGCACAAAAACCGTGGGGAGTGTAATCTGTGTGTATTGTGTGTGTGTACATATGTACTTTGGTAGGTCAGGTTGGGTGGGAGGGGGAAGTGTGTCGGTATTTAAGTATATGCATGTCTTGTATGTATGTATGCATGTATGTACATAGGTATGCACCTCGCATGCCACGTAGGTATGTCTACATACACATGAACATGCCCAGACATAATATATATATATATATATATGTATGTATTTATGTATGTATGTATGTATGTATGTATGTATTATACATGTACTCATACTTGTACGTACGTATAGTATACTCATACGTTTTTATATACAGATGCAGTATCCACATGCACACCCGCACACACACACACTCACATTAATCGGATATAACTTATGAGCTGGATACTACTCTTGGCGGGGCTCGCACTTCTTTGCGTCGTTTTCGTGAGGTTTGATTGCGAGTGTTTACCGCGCTGACGTCAGCAAACAAGTGCATATTGACCACTAAAACATGCCTGTCTATTGCGCTCTGACGGCCTGCCCCTCGCGCTCTAGCAAGATACAACAACAACATCGCATCTAAGGAAGATTGCGCGCCTGGTGCGGATTGTCCGTGTGGCCGCAGTCTTGCGGTTCATCCGAGCCCTGCGTTGCCCGTCTGACTTTTCAAACCTTAAGCCGTAGCACTAGACTAGACCTGTAGCCCTCCGCCGAGCCGTAGTCGTTGCAGTAGCAGGGTGATGGTTGTCGCGCTCGTAGCTACACTCGATATCGCAGTCGTGGTCGCAGCAATTGCGGTAGCAGCGGCAGTAGCAATAGCAGTAGCGGCAGCAGCAGCAGTGGTAGCAGAAGTAACAGTCGTCGTGCATCGTTTTTTGTTTATTGCGCCTAGTAGTCAAGGTGGGACCCACCACCTAGGGACAAAAGTCCTGTAAGATGGCCGGAAAATGGCCCATATGCGCAGTAAAGGGCTTTCGTCGACGTGACTAGAGAGTCATAGAGAGGCTGCTTGTCATGATGAAGGTGACGGTGACCATGATCATGATGATGATGATGATGATACTACTGATGGTGCACTACTGATTGTTGTGTTGACGCTGGCCATGACGTTGCCCTTGTTGTTGGTGATGAGGGTTGTCATGAGGACGAGTAGGATACTGGCGATGATGATGGCCAGGGTGATCATGATGATGACGATCTTGACAACGATGACGATCATGATGGTCTTGTGGATGCTGATGATAAACAGGCATGTTCTCGCCACAAGCTGCCCCGGCAACAACTTTACGGGGTGGGTATCGCCAAGCTCTCGAATCTTGAGGAATCCTGATCTTCTCCATCATGCAGACACTGAAATCGCTTCTTTGGTCGCTGGTTCTTCTGCCACTTGGTTTTGAGACATGTTCCGCCTAGATTCTTCAGTGGTGCGATCCCTGCGTGGCGACATTTCTGCGTACCGTAGGAATTTCCTCTTCCTCTCTAAGGTTTGTCATCATCTATGCTTTTGCCGTGGCTCGGTCTGCGATGGGCATGTTGTTGAAATGCTTATTCAACGCTGTTCGAAGGCAGCTGCAGTGCTGAAGCCAAGACCCAGGTATTATTTACAGATGCTGCCGTCACCTATCAGTACATGAACGGGGAGAGGCTTGTACAAAAGTGCGGCATGTTTAGACTTTAGACTTGCTTGCTCTCGCACTTTGTATGCTTTATCTGCTCAGTCTTACTGCCCCGAAGCTTCGCCTGGGTCATCCAAGGAATGCAGAGCTGTCCAGGATGTTTGGCTCGTTGATTGGCTCGATGAGCACCCTGTTAAGGCCCGATGCCTGGCAATCCGCCAGTGCTGTGATCAGGGTTCTGCGCAAGTCTAGCCTTTGACCCTGGTCTCCGTGCCACAAGCATCAGCCGCGGCCGCAGTCGGAGGTCTATCTCTGGGGGCATGAACTGGCAAGGTCCCGCGGATGCCTTGGGTCAGGTGGGAACGGAGCCTTGACCCAATAGTAGCAGAAGCGCTCTTGTGACAGTTTCAACTTGTGGTGGTACTTCTCACAGTCGTATTAGTCATGAGAAGCGGCTCGGCGAACAATTGGAATCACAATGATCCTATTGCATTCGCAGAGTAGTCCCTGCTACTTCACTGCATCTACTGTGGCTACTCCTACCACTCCTGGGCTTACTATGCTTACTCTGGCTCCGCTTTTTGTTTCTGCTCCTGCACCTACTGGGTAGACTTCACTTGTGACTTCTGTCGAGTCTCACTTGTGACTTCTCAAGCGGTCTCGCTTGTGACACCTTCGCAGAGGAGGGAGGGGAGGGACCGAATCCAAACCGACGCCAGCGCAGGGCTTCGCAAGCGCAGAAAGTGACAAGTCAATTTTCATGCGAAGACAGGAAGAATGATCTGCTGAATTGCTCACACCGGCGTGTAATGTAAACTTACGCCCTCCAAGCACGTATCACTGACGCGCCACAACCGCTCCTTGGTCGCAACCATGTCTGCGAAGGAGTTGGGCAGCAAGAAGAACCTCCTCCAGGACGATGAAGCGGAGAAGGAGTCAAAGCGGCTTCCCAGCAACCCGGATACCATGAGCGATCCCGGCAGGGGAGACGTTGTGCTCATCGATGAGGTCGTCGAGCAAACCCGAGAAGATCCGGGGGCCAACCCGTCGTGCTGCCAAGGTCGGCCTTGCGCGTCGAGGGTGTGCCCACCGCCGCCATGGGCACACGAAGAGATCTTGGCCAAGTCCGAAGGGTACAAGCATCAAGAGTCAGCTGGCTCACTGAGACCTAGCTGGCCGAGATGCAGAAAGTTACCGAAGCTCAAGCACCGGCGCGTTGAAGGAGTACGTCTTGTGCCGTCTCTTCGAGCCAGTGCGATCCCACGCCGGCGGAGAATGCGTGGCCAATGCAATCCCCAGCGGCATGGACAGTTGTCCGTTGTGCACGAAGTATCCGGATGAGATGATGCACTTCAGCTCCGAGGCACACATCTTGCATCTGAACGAGCAGCTAATGCAGGGAGGATTACTTTTCCATAACCGAGCTGCCGGCCGAGCTCCGCCTCCCCCTGCCCCGGTCTTGGTGCCATGCCGAGTGGTGGGGATGGATCTGCCAGGATGAAGCTTTGAAAAAAAGGGAGCAAAGATGAAGCCCCAAAGCACGGAAGAGCAAGGCCTACAGGAGTGGTCGCATGCACGTCCGAAAACAAGACACACGGGACACAAGAAGAAGACAGAGGGGCATGGGCTAGCTTTTTATCCCTATATACCCTGAAACCGCTACCTAAAGCAGCTTAAGCAGTAAATCAGCGTTAAACATTGAAACTTCCCCCACTGCATACCTTGAGTGCGAATTCTTAAGCCTTCAACTTCAAACCCTGTGTCATCTCTTCAACTCGAGGCCAGACACCCTGAAACCGGAGGCTGAACTTTCAACCGTCACGATGAAACCGAGACCCTGAAGCCGAGACCCTTAGCAGTCAATCCCAAACCGGAAACCTGAACAAACAAACCGTTTGTCGCCCTCTCTCAATACCATAGACCTTTGCAGTATCCCTCACCCCAAGTACCCATTATTTATCGGAAAACTCGGGCCCTCGCCCCAAAATCCCGCAACCCTGAAGCCATACCCCCTGAATCCTGATGCATGCTGATGCCTCAGCCGTGACCCTGATCCCTGCACTCGCAGCCATAAGCCCCATCCCCCGTGTATACCCTAAAGCAGCGGCCTAAGGCAAACTTAAGAATCTCGCTGAACCTCCAACGCGAACCTGCCCTCCCTCCCGCTGAAGCTTAAGCACGAAACCCTCCGTTTTGAACTCCAAACTTTATGCCCCCCATATACCCTAAACCCGTAACTCCAGATCCGAACCCTGGTGGGAGGTTGCCTTTGAACCCGGAGCCTTCATCCGGAGAAGACGAGGCCCCAAATGCCGTCCGCGCTTGTCCCTTTGCATCCGCGAGAACCGCGAAGCAGTAGAGTTGATATTCGATCCCGGTCGGAAGAGTCACAAGTGATTTTATGCATTTTTGCCGAGGTTGTTGCAAAAATCACAGGGCAGACCCGACGGAAGTCACGAGCGAAGCGCTTGTCGAGTTTGCGAGAATTACAAAAAGGACTGTTATCCACTTGCTGTTCTTCGCCCAACAACGGCGATCAAAACAACAACAGCAACGAGGTGAAGAACGACCACGACGATGGCGAGGACGAGGACGAGAACGAGAACGAGAGTTACGAAGGCGACGGCGACGACGCCACGACGACCACGACGACGGCGACAGCGACACAACACCAATTACAACGGATAAGGATACTACTGTTACTCCTGCTGCTACTAGTGCTATTGCTATTACTACTACTTCCACCACCACCACGACGGGCACTTTCTCAAGTTTCACTATTCCAATAATGTTGTTGTTCGTTTTCGTGCCACTACATATGGGCAATGTTTCAATATTGCCTTCTACTTGTTATTCATTTTTTGTTGTCAGTACTATCATTGTTTGCAGAGTTTCCAGGAACACGCCGCAAACATTGGTTGTTCTTGGGCGGCCCACATATGCAGTGGATGCCAAAGCCCACGTAGGTCAGAGATTTCCGCGTAAAACAAGCGAGACAAATAACGGTGCGGTAAACAATCGAGGCCTGTCCTATGGACCTGTGCCATGTGTTTGCAGCCGAGGAGTGGGAAATCCTTTTCACGCTGTACGTGACATTTAGCTGCTTCGCAGTTCTCAATGCACGGAGCTTAGACTGCGCACCCGCCAAGTTTGCTGGGCAAATGCGCCTGGCATGCCGACGGACGGGGCCTGTTCCTGGATCTGATAGTTTTGCACACGTGCCTTCATCCGCCAGCCGATGTCAAGAGGTGAGCACCCACCATGTGACTCTTTTTGGGCTTCTTTAAGCTGGGGCCCATGCTGTTTATTCAACGAATCCATCTTTTGTTTCGATGGTGCGAGGCCCAATCCCCAAAAACCAACTCGGAGCACAAACCCCGACACGTAACAAGGTGATGACGGGAGTGTTCCTCGGTTGCATTTCATCTTCCCGTGGATTGTGCGAAATCGTAGCAGGTGACTCGTTGTTTCCCGAGCCCTTGATCTCTAGTGCCAGGTGTTTGGGACAGGAAAAAGATGAGTAAGTAGAACCGCCATATCGAATTTTACAAGAGCAACAACAGGGCCTTCTCGGTGGCACGTGGTGGCTGGCTTCACGATTGGGCCCACCAGCAACAACAAAGCCCCAAACTACCCGAGCTCATCATGTCGTTGGGTTCCCATGTCCGCGCTTCGCCTCGAATACGAAATCCCCAGGTTTTGCCACAGTGCGATCACTGGCGCTGCCCAAGATGAGCATCTGATGGTGCAGTCTCTCCTCCAGGAAAAGGATCAATTCCGCCTTCCGGCGTGGATTTGGCGTTTCCGTTTGCAAATTTTCCTGAGTCGTAAGTCTCTGGATTCAGATCCCGGTAAACATCATTGGGAACTGAGGCCAGAAGTTCGAACAGCTTTTCCATGAGGTGGGCAGCGGGTCCGAAGACATATTCGGGTTTTGTTGGTATCATTGCATCATGGCTCTATGTTCGGTAAGGCTGGGCGTTTGACATCTGAGAGCCAGGTGGATGATGACGGCACGGGGCACATCACTCTGAACGAGTTCGAGCGCCATTTTAACGACGCCTCGCTGGCAGCACTCTTCGAAGCGCTTGACTTGCCCTCGACGGACGCCTGGAGCCTCTTCCAGGAGGGATTCTGAGATCTGTATCGGTATGTGTGCTTGTAGCTGTATCGAACTCTATATCTACATCTGTTATTGCAGTGTATCTCTATCCATCCTTAGATCTGTACTTGCGGCTGTATCTGCATACATATGTATTTTTTATGTACACCTTGCTCTCTCTCTATTTATATCTTTATTCACAGCTGCAGCTAATGCTGCAGTTGTAGCTACAGCCATAGTCTCCGTGTCTGTATCTATATCTGCAGCTATATCTATATCAGTATCTGTATGTATGTCACATTTGTATCTGCATCTGTTTCTATATCTACATTTGCATCTGCATGTGTATCTGCATCCATATCTCTATCTACGTCTACATCTATATCTATATCCATACTATATCTGGGTTTCCCCTGCTGTCGCTATGACTATGTCTTTGTCTATGCCTCGGCCTACGTTGTGCACCGTCTATGTACGTGTCCATGTCTATGTCTTTACGTCATATACGTGTGTGTGTGTGTGGGGACATATGTATACGTACATATATTTATATGTACATATATATATATATATATGTATGTCTATGTACGTATGTGCATGTGCTTGTCTGTGCCCGTGTGTCTCTGTATACTTGCATGCAATCATGCATGCAAGGTACATATACACACCAACATATGGGTCTTCATGACTTGCACAGGCATTGCTGCAATGCGGTGTCGTTAACTGCCGACGTTAGACGGTGTCGTCCGATCTTCCTGGTTGAATTTGCGTGAAGTTGCTCCCGCCAGGTTGTGTGCCAAGTTGCACAAAGCTAGAGGGGGGTGATTCGATGGTCCACGGCAGGCGAATCGACGCCCGGAAGTCGGTAAGAACTGTGCCGAAAGGCGTTGTACAAACCCGAAAGCCAAGTAGGAGGCAGCCCTTCAAGGACAGTTTCCAGCACGAATCCCCAGACAGTATCTCAACAAGCATCGTCGAAGCGACGGATTGACGTGGGCCTCGCAGTCCCGAAGCCTGAAGGGTCACTGTGAGCCAGTTTTGAAAGTCAGTGGTGACCTCGGTGATTCCACTGTGACCCTGATTCCAGACTCTGGATGCGGATGGCGACCACATGATCGATGCGGACGAATTCCTCGTGCCTTGGGCACGAGAGCTGGCGGGGTCTGCACTGCTGTACCTAATCATTGGAGTGGCAGGTATGCGCACATGTTTAGACTGCTGAGGATAGCTGCATCCGCATGCGCGGCCCCCCTCGCTCTGTGGACGTGTGCGCCATCAAGCGACAAGCAAACAAGATTCGGAGGCGGGATCGTCAGCCGACTTGACTGGTGGCTAGTGGAAACCCGTCGCAGACAGGAGGTGTGATAGGATGCCGTAGGCATCTTCTTCTGGCTGCTCCTACAGCAAAGCTTAGTCTTTAGTGGCATCTAGCAGCTTGCGTTTGTAGCTGCAGGCAAGTGATGGACTTGGCAGATGTGATCGAAGACGTGATGGAAGTGCAGGAGGCTCGGTCATGCAGCTAGAGTCTGCGTGCCGGCTTGGGAATAGACTGGAGTATTCCCTCCAAAACGGGAGGCGGATGTTTAAAACAGCCCGGCGATGGCATAGATGGCACTGACGAAAACCTAGAGCCAGTCGCTACAGAACAATGCAGATGTACAAGTGCATCTACACCGAGACAAGTCTCCAGCCCAGACGATTCGGGCGTTGGATAGAATAAGTTTCCAGACCCAATCCTTGGATGTATTCTTTGCGCAGGACATTCATGACAACCTCCAGAGGACGATCCGGCAGCAAGAAGTGCAGGGGATGCCGGTGCTGTCTTACCAGCAGGTCTAGCTTCAAACCTCAAGCTTTAGAGTTCAGGCTTCACACAGGCACACAAGTTCAGAGGGTTCTCTGTGTGCTTAGCCCAAGTTCCAGATTCCTCGAACCTGCTGTGAGAGAGAAGCTGCGCCAGCCCCTGTCCAACTTTTTTTGTCGGGCCGGGATCCCGTCAACTCTCCCAGATCAGCGAACTGCAAGAGTTAAGATATGTAGCCTTCAGGGGTTGCGGATGTACCGGCCAAGTCCGGATCCCGGCGGCTTATCAGCTGATGATTTTTGAAACATTACGGCCCCCAGGGCTCGACATGGTGTGCTCAAGGGAGCTCTTCGCAAGCAAAAACTTGTTTGGGTGTTCCAGTTTCCGAGCGCCAGTTTTGTCGTGTAGATAGGTGGCTTTTTGGGTTCACTCCCCCACCACCCAGAGCCCTCGCATTGAATGTTGGAGGTAGCTCTGGGACTGTATAGCAGCGTTTCGGATCTCCATCCCAACCACGACCCGGTAATCGGGCTTCACGGTTGCGGTCAAAAAGTTCGCGGGAAAGGTGCCAAGCCTTGCCACTCGCAGGGCACCTTGGCAGTTTGCTCTTGACCCAACACCCTGCGCGAAGATCCTTGCACCTTTTCTAGGGGTGAGTATAAAACGGATCGCATGGGCTTTCGGGGCTGTAGCCGGCTTCCCAGCTTTCCGCAGCTCCCACGCAGCCGATCCGAGGCGAGGTGCTTGTCCTTTGCTTCTCGGCCATGGTGTTCAACCCAGCAAAGCAGGCGCAGTCGGAGAAGATCGGAGGGAGTTCGGGTTGGTCCATCATGCATTTCGCGTGTGAACCAGAGGGCAGAGGTGTTATGCCGATGTCTTATTGCGCCTGAGGACAAGATATCCTGGAACCACTGCAGCCTCCAGGCTACAAAACCATAAACCTGCACGTCTTCTTGCGAGGCGTTCTCAGAGCGCTGTGTCCTGCAGAGGTGGCAGCTGAAGGTGGCGAGCCTAGACTCGGAAGAAGCAGGGGAAATGCAGCAGAGAATACTGTCGCAAGAGTCGGGGGAGGAGCAGGATGTACGTGCTAAGTAGTTCTCTAGAGATGATGATGACGGTGATGGCCGTGTCCATGTTCTCTTGCCATTTTCGAGAACCAGATGCTCATGTTGGATTGAAGGATTACTGGCGGGACATCTGCAGGTAGTTGTCATACCACATTGTGTGCATCATGCTTACCATCATGTTGCTTGGTACACCGAGAGCATTCGTCTGTGCAAGAGGTGGCCTACGACGGCTCCGAATTCCGGGGCTGGCAAGCATTGGGCGATCAAGGTGTAGCGGTGTAGTGGCTGCTCCAGATTGATTTTGGGCAATCATTCTGTCGAAGGCTTGTCGCCTGTGCGTGCTTGCTGGGATAGAGCGGCAGAGACACGGAGATTCTTCAGAATCACGTGAGTGCCGGAGGCGTCCGCACCGTTCATCGAACACTCACTGCTGCTTTGATGGCCTCGCATCCGCTTCACAGAGCCCTGGCAGAGAGCGGATTCGGATCCATTCAGCTCTAAACCGGGGACCCTTGAATCTCAAAATCCAGAACTTTGCAAGCCCAAAGTCCGACTCTGAAGAAAGCTACGGAGTATCAGGCTTTGAGCCGTCACACCAAAGCCACCAAAGAAGCGCCCTCGGAGGTCGCCATCGACAGGCTCCTGTGCTGGTGGGTTGCTCCCGCACCGATCGGGGCGTGCACGCAGAGGCCGGTTCTGTCAGCATGGTAGTACTTGTAACAATAATAGGGTTTAGGGGTTAGGGTTTAGGAGACAGGGGTTTAGGAGACAGGGTCGACATGTATGAAGGCGTACCCAACGCTAAGCCCGAAACCCCAAATCTTGAAGCCCTACCATGTTTCATCAAGCCCTCAACTCTAAATCCAAAACAACCTAAAACCCTAAACCCCAAAACCCAAAACCCTAATCCCTAACCCCCAAAAGCCAAGCCAGGGGCAAGTGGCCCACGTCGACTTACTGAGCCTTCCAGACTTGGATGCTGAGACGCTGAGGCGCTTTAGGGCTTCAGGGTTTTAGGGTTTTGGGGTTTAGGGCTTCAGGGTTTTAGGGCTTTAGGGTTTTACCGTACGGTTTTAGGGTTTAGGGTTCAGGGTTTAAGGTTTAGGGTATAGGTTTTAGGGTTTAGGGCATGTTCTTTCGGGGTTGGGCTTGCGGCTTGCGGTGTCTGATATTTCGGGCTTAAGGATACTAAGGTTCAGAGATTTGGGGGTTTTAGGGTTTAGGGTTTAAGGTTTTGGGATCTAGTTTCAGGGGTTTAGTTTAAGGATTTAGTGTTAGGGCCTCAGTTCTAGGATCTAGTACTGCGATTTTAGTTGAGACTATGGACCTCAACCCTAAACCCTGAACCTTGAACCCTAAACCCTAAACGGAATCCAGGCTCGCCTCGATGCTCAAAACGTGCCGTTGTCCGTTGGAGGCGCCGGGTCAACCGCCGGCTGCCACAAGACGTGTCACCCAGATGGAATAGTTTCCCTCTGTCTGTATGGGCCCTGGAATTCGAACCCAGTGCGGGATCTTGGGTCTAATTCTTGGCTGGTGTGAGGCAGACTCGAGTTGCCTGAACAGTACAATTTTCAGAGGTTTAGGGCTTAGGGCTCAGATGGGTTTGAGCGTGCATTCTTGGAAGCCGAAGATCCAAGGTTAACGCATGGATGTATGCTCTGTGCCGTTGCTTGAGGATGCAAGGTGTTGGCAGGCTACTTTTGTCACATTTGAGTTCTGTCCCCTTGTGAAACAGCTGTAGTACTGTGTTAGACCCACCCCACGGCAAACCACTATCCTTTCTCAAGTGGAGGGCAGAGCAGGTAAGGCAGTTGCTCGAAGTTCGTCCGGCCACCGAGCAGCAAAACATGCAGGTGCTTAGCTGAGGCCACGGTCCCCCAAGACGAGGGCTCAGTCCATGTGAGTGTCTAGCTGGCGGCCCTATTCGCGATTGGAGTTTTCTCGCGGCATACGAACTCACACGCAGCCCACAACCTTTGTCTTGCGCTCATCCTTCCCTCCCTCCCTCCCGACCTCCCTCCTTCTGCCTACCTGCCTACCTGCCTCCCTCCCTCGCTCTCTCCCTGTCTCTGTCTCTGTCTCTGTCTCTGTGTCGGTCTCGGTCTCGGTCTCGGTCTCGGTCTCTCTCTCTCTGTCTCTCTGTCTCTCTGTCTCTCTGTCTCTCTGTCTCTCTGTCTCTCTGTCTCTCTGTCTCTCTGTCTCTCTGTCTCTCTGTCTCTCTGTCTCTCTGTCTCTCTGTCTCTCTGTCTCTCTGTCTCTCTGTCTCTGTCTCTCTGTCTCTCTCTCTGTCTCTCTGTCTCTCTGTCTCTCTGTCTCTCTGTCTCTCTGTCTCTCTGTCTCTCTGTCTCTCTGTCTCTCTGTCTCTGTCTCTCTGTCTCTCTGTCTCTCTGTCTCTCTGTCTCTCTGTCTCTCTGTCTCTCTGTCTCTCTGTCTCTCTGTCTCTCTGTCTCTGTCTCTGTCTCTCTCTCTGTCTCTCTGTCTCTGTCTCTGTCTCTGTGTCTGTCTCTGTGTCTCTGTGTCTCTGTGTCTCTGTGTCTCTGTGTCTCTGTGTCTCTGTGTCTCTGTGTCTCTGTGTCTCTGTGTCTCTGTGTCTCTGTGTCTCTGTGTCTCTGTGTCTCTGTGTCTCTGTGTCTCTGTCTCTCTGTCTCTCTGTCTCTCTGTCTCTCTGTCTCTCTGTCTCTCTGTCTCTCTGTCTCTCTCTCTCTCTCTCTCTCTCTGCTTTCCTGCGACAGAACGCATGCTCCAAGCAATGGGTAGATGCAGACTGACAGAATTCAGCGATGACCATCGATTTCAGAGCGACCCGAGGTAAACAACAGCTTCCACGCACGGAAGAGTGCTTTGCGCAAGTGCCTTGACTTTCCCGACTGCTTGTGGAGAGCTTGGAAGGTTGTGCGATTTGTCTAGGGGCTCCACACCGAGTGTTCTGGCTGACATTATCACCTCACTGTGAAGGAGAATTCGGTTGCTAAGCGGCCTGACTTCAGGCGGTATCGCTACGACCTGCTGCTGCATCCTCGGGCTTCGCCGTTCGATGCACGATTTGTGTGGGCACTTCGGATGCAGTATGATGCAGCCACTGCCCATGAGTCCACGAGAATTTTTCTCCATCCTCCACTTCCACACGGTCCGACATGTTGCCTAAGAGATCCTGAGAACTTCTGTCCCCTGTGACTGTGTCCAGAACACAGGAAATTGAACAACTCTGACAACTGCGACTTTAAGGCAACTGTACACTGCCATTAACTGATGCCAGGAGCGAAACCTGAAGCACTTGCATTGACTTTTCACCGACCCTGCCCAGAGTGTGTCAATCCAAGACTACTGCCCTTCGGCTTTAGCAGTTTTACTGCGAGAAAAACTTTAACTTCAACCTACCGGCCGCCTAAATCCAAATCCTAGAAGTGGAAACTGAGACAGCCGCAACGCCAAGAACAGCAGCAGGAATAGCACTACTTGGAACAAGTGTCGTGATCATCGTCGTAATCATCAGAATGGTAGTCATCACACCAAAGACTTTCAATCTTAAAAGTGATTCGTACATTCATCATAATCATGAGAATGGTATTCATCACAGTAAAATGCAGGCGGTGGGAGACCTCGGAGCCGGCGTGATATCCGAGGGAGCTCGGCAGCTCAGCGGCCAGGCCTGTGGGAGGTGACTGAAGCTTTGTTTAGGGTTTCGGGGTTTAGGGTTTTGTGGTTTTAGGGTTTAGGGTTCAGGGTTTTAGGGTTTTAGGGTTTTGGCTTCAGGGTTTAAGGGGTTTAGGGGTTTAGGGGTTACAGTAGGGTTTCAGGGTTTAGGGTCTGGGGCACTGCAAGGCCGTGGACTGCAGCCTCCTCACCGTGAACTGGCGTGCTTCCTGCAAAGCCGACACGGCCGGGAAGCTACCACTACTGCTACCAGTACCGCCACCTTCTACTACTCGTCCTCCTACTACTACTCCTCCTGCTCCCGCTCCTGCTGCTGCTCCTACTCCTACTCCTCCTCTTACTGTTGCTGCTGCTGCGGAGGGCTTGCAGTTGTCAGCTTGCTTCGTGAAGGTTTCGGGATGTACCTGCAGAGTACTCCAGGGGCGCACTTTGAGTTTGGAGTCCAGGGCTGGGAATCGCATAAGTGCACATAGTTTTCATGGACAAGATACAAGAGCTAGGACTCATTGATGGTTTCATGCCTCCCTGATGCGATTCGGGACAATGGCTTGGATCCGAGGCTGTGCGGGGTTTCCTTTATACGCGATACGCATGCTTGAACTCATTGTCCTCATACAGTACTTCATGGGATCATATGTCCAGGCGAGCTGCCTGCTGAAAAAATGCGATGTCCGTGGTTGAAACCTTACAAGCTCGGTCTCTTAGCCTTAGATATGTGTCAGGCAAGCGGCACCAAGAGACATTCCGGTGCTGTGCTAAAGCATTTGGATTGAAAGCGCGGCCTGGCGACAGGATGAGTTCGACGAGGACTACTACGGATCATTGACGAAGCGGCTGCGTCCTCAGCCGGGACAAGGTTCCTGGAAAAGTCGCGGTATGATGGGACGTTTCCAACACTTGATTGTTCTTCATCTTTGGGCAGTGACTGAGTGCTTCAAAAAGAGATAGTAAGGACTACAGTACCAGCCACAACAACAGCAACTAGCAATGCCTGTAACAGCACCGACAGAAGCAGCCAGCGTACCAGCAGGAATTCCACAACGACGACGCTTTTGCCACCGCCATCACTTCGAGGATGATGACGATGACATCAGCCATGACGACAACCACGACAGCAGCAGCAGCAGCAGCAGCAGCAGCAGCCGCAGCAGCAACAATACGACCTCGACCACTGTCGTCACCACCATCAGCACACACAGAAACCGCTACCGTAACTGCGACAGTGACAGCACCAGCAGTAGCATCAGTAACAACTCCATGACCGCGCCACCAACGGCAGCATCCTCAACAACAACAGTAACGACAATAACTGGTACTGGCATTAGCGGCATTACGCTCTACTACCACCACTACCACTACCACTACCACTACGACTACCACTACCACTACCACTACCACTGCGACTGCCACTGCCACCCCCGCTACCACTACCACTACCACAACCACTACCACTATCACTATCACTACCACTGCGACCCCGCTACTGCCACTGCGACGACCGCTATTAGTAAGCGACGACGACAGCAGTTACAATGACAAACCATGTTATCAAGCGCTGCCACATTTCCAGCTGGGAGTTGCTCACGCCTCACGCCTAGGCTGTTCATCGAAACAAGTTTGGACGCTGCGGCAGAGAAGCTGAGCCCGAGCCGCCTTGGGTTTCGAGGTTTCGGGTTTCCTGCGCTTCTCTGGAGTCGAGACATCGAGAGTAGTGGGGAAGGACATGCAAAGACATCCTTGCGTGAGAACGCTGTCACCGAGTCAGCGAAGTAGCTGCAGTTGCCAAGACACAGCAAGGAGCGTGCGCTTGGAGTGCGAGGCATTCCTGTACAGGCAACCTTGATGCAGACCGGTTCCGCGGTTTAGCTCGCACTGGAACTCGTGCATAGTACTTGGAGGTTCATGGGTAGTTATAAGTGGGGTTATAAGTAGGGTAGCTATACTTATAACCCATATTGGGGGACTAATAACCCTACTTATAACTACCCACGAACCTCCAGTAGTAGGGACCAGCGATGCCATCGCATGATAGAACCGGCTCCTGCTCTCGCACTCGGCTCTGCTCCGACTCAATATGGGAGTTTCCGAAAATAGGGGACCCTAATATAACACCCTAAATAGTGGGATCCTTACTATAAGGACCCGAAAATAAGGTACCCCTAATTTTCGGAAACTCCCGAGTCCTGAACTCAGTGCCTTCAGGCGTGCAATCCTTTGACCCATGTGGCTCTTAAGCCCTTACGCAGTGCCCTCAAGACTCCATTCAGCCGGACCCTAGCACCCTTGTTCGACTATCTTGGACATTCTTCACGACTTTCGAACCCCCTAAACCCTAAACCCTAACACCTTTCCGCCCACCAGGATGGCTCGAGTGGTTGTCTCTGCCCTCGTGGCCTGCGCGCGAGGGGTGATCGGTGTGGCTGATCTCCAGGATGCCCCTAGGTTACGAGGGATTCATCATGAGAAGAGCTCACGGAAGCACAGATGATGAAACTAATCGAATACTCGCATGATTATTTGTTTTGTCACGAAGTAGAATCACAGTGATACCAGTGAAAACATGAACGCAGTCGTGACTGCAGTAACGCTAGCATTAAGCATACAGCAATAGTTACACTTAGAACAGGAGTAGCCAATGTGAGCGTCGTCGTCTCAGTTTAATTCCAGCAGCAGTGGGGCAGGAGGCGGAGGCTGAGGAGGAGGAGGAGGAGGAGGAGGAGGAGGAGTTGCAGTCCCTTCAACCATAGATGCATTGGTATTTGAAAACCAAGAAGGCTTCAGCAGTACTTCTGCGAGGTAGGAATTTTTGAGTTTAAGTATTGGTGGCATGTACTTGGATCCGATGATGGGTGCAAGTAGTCCAAGGCTTCTTCTCCGTCCTTCGCCAAAGCCTTGCGGAGGGTTAAGGGAAGGCACGGTACGTTGTCGAAGTCTCGGGAGCCACCGCAAGAGCAGTCGGCGATGGTCCTGGTTCCGTGATGGTTTCGAGGATGTCGCGAGAGCATTGTCTGGGATTGCAGGTTTTGGTGTTGGATCCTCTGTCCGAAGCCATCAACCCGGAGCCCTTCGCACGACATGACTTGCCATGCATGTTGCCCCGTTTGTGTATGCGAGCACATCATCTCCAGAGATGGTGTGGCATCACCACATTCTAAGTTCTGCGTGAGGCCCTGAGACCTGAACCCTGAAGCCTGGCGCGTGCTTGGCAGGATAGCGCTGGCGCCTCCAAACGGCCTGTTCCTGGAGGAGATTGCGTATCCATCCGATGGACGATGGGAAACGCCAGCGAAAAAGTAGAAGCAAGAAGACGGCGATTGTGGTCGTAGCAACATCCACGACGAGATAAGCTACAGAGCATCACGAAGAACTGGAACAAGCATACTGGTCAACAAGCATACTGGTCTAGGCTACGCGATAATGCCGCAGCCATATTAGTAGCAACAGTTGGCTGCAGCAGCTGTGGCAATGATGAACATAATATTTCCTCTGCTATGGCTACGGGAGCTGAAAATTGCAAAGGCTCGCAATAGGCAGTCGCAGCAATAATGACACGAAGCATGATGATGATATTCACTAAAACGATACAGTATCCAGGTGGTAAGAAACAACGGCTGCAGAAGTTTTAACAAGAACCAGGCCTGGGAGCAGAAAAGGACCAAGGCAACAACAAATTAGATTTTCCGAAGACTGACAGAAAGTATGCGTAGCGCTGTTCATGCTGCTCGTGTCAACCATGCTCACCATGCAAAGCCTTCCAATGATCTTGACGGTGCCAACACTACTGGTACGGTCCCCGATGGCAACTCTGCCAATTCATCACACGCAGCGGCGCTGCTCGTACTGGCAGCTGACACAGCACCACAAGAAGAAGAACCAGGAGAAGGAGACAACGGAATTGACCAGAACCGGAACGGAGGCCTTTGCATCTTGTCGCAGATATACAACAGATGCTATATAATATGTAATAACATATTATACCATGCTATACTCTTATATTATATGTGTAGGTATACATACGTGCATACATACATACGTACGTGCATACATACATTATTCTCCTTGTATTCTATGATCAGTATATTACTTAAAATGGCGTAGTTCATCTCATCTTATCTGTCGATCCTTATATTACTAGAGATTTTTTCAGGATTTGGGGTTGTCCCTCTGCACCTCGGGCCCGCCCTGGGCTCAAGCCCACGTTCTATCTCGTTTAGAGCAAGAGGGCCGCCTGCCACGTGGCTGATATTGAGGGTTTAGGGTTTAGGGTTTAGGGGTTTAGGGGTTTCGGGTTTAGGGGTTTAGGGTTTCGGGCTTAGGGTTTAGGGTGACCCTAAACCCCTGCACCCGAAAATGGAGTTTCCGATTCGGGGAAAACTGCACTCCCGGCTGTTGAGCTTGTGTGTGGTGTACGGGTAGATACGCTGCATGGCACGAGCTGCGATGCTGAGGCCAGCCATGTCTCGACCTTCGAGGATATGGGCGCGCTCTCTGCGCCCCGGCGGATTTGGGGCTCCGTGGTTTGATCGACGTGCTTGCCGATAACAGGGGGCACCAGGGCAGGCACAGCAGCAAAGAAGATGCGGAGAGTAAGGGAGGTGGCCTTGAGGGTCAGCGGGACTCAGTCCGTCACTGCAGGGGGCTGCTGTCCTACGCAGCGGCAGCCTGCACAGGACAGGGGCTCACACCGGAAGATCTGACGGGTTCTGCATGTGCCCATCCTCCCGTAATTAGTTCGGAACGTCATCTGTCGGGTATCATGAAGTTGACCCGGTGCAGAGTTGTCCGTCGCAAAGGAGATCACTGCAAAGCCGGTGAAGAGGCGGTCTGTCATCCTCCGTCCACGGTGATTGCATGTCTCTGCTCCGGTGTGGCAGTCAGAGGTGAGCCCCTTTCTTCGACAGGCGGTTCTGATGCAGATCCGGAGCAGTACCGAGCTGAATGCCTCCTACGTGCCGCTTGTCTCGGATACTTCTTCCCAGCATCCTCGCGTGCCGCTTTGATGTGTGGCACCGCCTGAAGCGCGTGAGGTCTGGCACTCCGTATGGAACCAACCTCGGAGGACGGGCAGGGACATTTCAGCGTCGAGCTTACACGATCCTGGTGGGCTTCTGCTTGAGACCTCGCTGTTGCAGGAAGATGTGAATCTAAATTTCGGCTACTACTAAGCAGTTCGAAAAAGGCCCGCGGAAAAAGACACTCAAAGCCCTAAGCAATAAGCCAGGATGGCTCTGCCTTGAAGACTGGTTCTTCTCTGGCTTTGCTGGGCGCTTTGTGCCGGGTCCCGGGCAATCGTCGTGTAGAGTCCGCACCATAATATACTATACCGAATGATATTTAATCGGACTTTCCTTGGCATGTATTACATTAACCCATTATTGCACTACTGTATTACAATGTTATGCATCCCATGCCTGGAGCCCCGCCTTCCAACAAATCTTCGAGCTTCGCTTGGGCAGGCGTGACCCTGGCAGCTTCGATTGAGGGTTATAGTAGAACCCAGACAGTTGGAGCATAGCTTTAGGAGGATTGGTGCGAGGATCCCTTATACTTTACCTTAACGGAATGAGGATAATGCTGTTCCAACTTTCTGGCTTCTACTATAAGCTCCTGTTGAAACAGAATAGGGACCAGAGCCATCGAGACCAGATCGAGGAGTGGGCCTGTGGAGTGCGAGTACACGGAAACGAGCAGCTGTAGAACTCAAAGCATGTTGACAGGCATACGTACCTACATGCATGCATGCATATGTCATATGTACATATATATATTTATACACAAACATAGATTCCGTTTTTGTCTTCATATGTCGTAGATGTGTACTTGGTTACATTGCCTAGAGTTACACACGCATGCTTAGGTGTTTGTCCTTGTGATGCTTTTGGAAGCAAGTGTCTGGGTGCTGGGTAGTGCAATACGGCAGGTGTGTCCCGCATTGGTCCCGCATTGGTCCCGCATCATACATACGAGTTTGCCTTTGTCTGAGGCGTATGCAATGCAGGTAGTGTCTATAGTAGATGTCTGCGAGAGCAAGTTTGCTGCAAACACAGCGACAGCTCGTATGAACCAGTTCCAGACAACCCACCGCCACCGCAGATGTCACATTGACGAGTTGCAAGGATCGGATGTGTGTTCCCTAAACCCTAAACCCTACAAGCCCGCAAGGGATGGGGAGAAAAGGAGCTCAAAAAACACCCTACAAGCCCCTATCGCTGCTTGTCCTTTTTTTGGGCAGGTCCACCAGCGACAGCATAGGCCAGGGCGCTTGTCTGCCGCCGCTGCTCCAGGGCTCCTCGCCCTGGTCTCCGTGCTTCCGAGCCTTTGGAGTTTGGGTTTCGGGTTCAGGGTTTAGGGTTTAGGGACTTTTTAAGTTCTTGGCTTCGGTAACTAGGTAACTATAGAGAGGGATTCCGTAGTAAGTTCTACTGGGATCAGGCTACGTGGGGTTCGACTCTGCTAGAGAGGGTAGCTCGCCCTTCCAAGGTGGTGAGAAGCCTTGGCCATCCGAGGGCGTCCTCACGCATAGGCCGACACCTCAGAGATCTCGGCGCATGGTCTGCTTGCACCTCCTCCCAAGCATGATGCATCTTCTTTGCATCGCCGAACTGGGTGGCAGCAGTGCTGTTCAGCCGGCCTACCCTAAACCCTAAACCTGATTCAAGAGTGTTGCTCCATCTGTAACTATGAGAAGCTCATGAGGATCTTTCTCCGCCAAAGCCGGACCCGGACCCTGCCCCAGGAAACTCCCCATAACTGACCTAGTCTTGGATTTTCATGATCGCTGTGGACCAGCAGGCTTGCCAAAAAATATGGCAAGAAGTTTGCGGCGCAGGTGTTCATGGCGCACAGGCCGTCGCTGCGCTCTGCTGAGCCTGTGAGAGTGTTGTGCATGTCTGAGTGTGCTGTCGAGGGGGTGGGTTGCAGGAGGTTCATAGTCATAGTCTTCGTTAGGGGAGTCAATTGCTCCGAAGCGGTTTGTTGGTTTGCTGCTGGCACGCATGTCGCGTAAGATAGTGAACCGTTCGGATCGGTGGTCCTCTCTAGAGTCTAGAGGGCATGGACATGCGGTAGTCTGGAGGGTATCTGTAAGGCACTCCAAAGCATCAAAGGGTACCAAACAGCTTTGCAGAATGTGAGATCAGAACTTGCAATTGTGGCCAGGAATGATTTCATCAACCCCAGTGACCTGCAGGCGCGAACAGAGGGAACAGGGTACGGCTATGCGGCTACATACCACGAAGTTTCGGCATAAAGAGATCGGTGACCGAGAATGTTGCGCCAAGAGCAAGTCTCCAGCTGCCCAACGAGCTCCCCTGAAGCTCGAGGCCATGAAAGAAATTGGCATCAAGGTGGTGAGAATCCCTGTCATGTGGACTCTCTTTGCAGATGCCCTCGCAGTCATCGCCACTTGGCCAAGCAAGCAGCCTCAAGTCCAGTTGGCGGTTTTTCAGTAGTGTTGCACATAGCCGAAGTCTGCACACTTTAAAGTTGCGACCATGATGAGAAGCGTGTCAGTGCCTTTCGGTCGTAGCATGTCATGGAGCACAGTGGTTTACCTATGCGCATCCCTGGTTGCTACACTGCTACACACCACGGCATGTAAATAAATGCAGAGTTGCACATGGTGTTATCTGGCACACTGCACACCCCAGTGCAGACGCCACATTCCACCTCTCCCCATGAGGACAAGGAGGCTTACGGTTCGCACGATCCAGACAAGGACACGGTGATTGCCGCTCGGCGGCATCAGTCCGGCGGCACAGAATTGTCACGATGATTCAGAGGAAGAGCCCGATTGTGTATTGGTGCCTCTCATCATCATCAAACTCGCATCATGCCAATGCCAGAGCGGACTCTACCCAACAAGTAAAGCTACATCACCCACATGTCAGCATCACAGACAGGTAAAGTTCGAATTTGCAGAAGAACTCTAGCTGCACTGCTCGGCAGGTGCCCGATCCGTACTACACCGAGGACCCCGGTGATTTTAATTTTACAGCGATGCATAATATAGGAGTCTAAAATTTCCGATACTATTTTGCGGGTTCCTTATTATATCTACAGGCACTCAAGAGCAAAGAAGCACGGGCATTAGCTGCTGGCCTAACAGATCGAACGGCTTGGTTAGTTGACGGTCCCCAGCCCAACCCACATTGCCAGAATTTGGAGATGATCACCCCCTATCCTTCGACAAGTTCTCGGCACGCCTCGGGTCATGCACAAAACATCTATTCCAGCTGTTGTGATCCCTGTCGGTCAGCCCCCGGTATCACACGAACTGAACCGCAAAACCCAGCCGGCCAGAACATCTCCTACGCGACCATCCCGCGAAATCTTCTGGAGTGGCTCTTCATCCAGGATCCGCTGACGGTTATAGACACTATTGTTCTTATTATATTTGTTTTTTAATGTTTATTTCAGTTTCTGTTGTAGGACTCCATCATCAGGTGCGGCCTTTGACGTTATTGCTTAAGGCCATGACCGTGTGGATTATGTCCGTTGTTTGGGAGAAGGGCTACCGGCACAAGTAGGGCTTTGGAATGGGTTTGAGAGTCTTACCAGGGGCAAACTGTGAATCGTTTTCGGTACTCGTGAGAGTTGAGAGTCTTCTTACCATTCCGAACCTTTGCATGCCATGCCGATATGCGTTGCTCACCGGGATGTTTTGACTCCCGGCTGGCCGTGCCTCCTTCAGACCCGTGATCAATGGGCCCCCGTTCTTCAAGTGCCATGTCTTAAGGATTTTTTGTTATCATGATTGTTAGTACTATTATTATCATTAGGCTTATTCTTCGTCTTATTGTTAGTATTGTTCTAATTAGTATTGTATAGCCGGAAACCCCAACTTCAGCCGCACGATGTGGTAGCCTTGCCTCGGCTCAGGGACATGAGCTGGGTCTGAGGTTCCTGCTGGATGCTTGGCGCATTTTTTTCTGAGCCGGGCTCAAAAGCCTCTGTCGCATGAAGCCGCAAGCTCTTAAGCCGTGCCTTTTTGCGAGCTTTCGTGCAGCTGCGGTGTGGGAATGGCAATGTCTCGTCAGATCCGAGGACATTCATGCCTTCCCGGGTGGATCCTCCGACGGTGCCATGCCGCGTCAGGTTTTTTTGATTTGTAGGGTTTGGGGTTCATGCTTCGGGGTTTCCCTGCCGAGCGGGTTCTCCGCTTTGACAGGCACCTACAACGGCATCTATCCCGAGAGGCCCGTCTTCTGGACTGAGGATGTCCAGGTGCCTCCGACCTGGGAAAGGGGCTTCCAGGGGCCACAAGGAGGATGCCGCTGATTGTGATGGCGCTTCGTTCAGCTTAGTTCTGTGGCATCTAGTGAATCTAGTGCGGATTGTAGGATTGCTGCGGGCCGGTTGGTCGTTTCGGAGTACGTAGAAGCTCCATGGCTTCAGGGTGTCGCTGTCAGCGAGGCAAGGCTTTCGGTGTTCCTTTTTTCTTGAGCCATGTGTTCTTCCTGAAAATTGAAGACGTGCTGTGCAATCCTTTTGGGAATGCCCGGCTTTGGCATGGCTTGTCGGCAGCGCTGCCCAGCACAGTCTAGTCTACTCGAAATTCTTCTGCAAATTTCTGAGGAGTTTTCTTTCACTGCAGAGGGCAAGCAAGCCTCATCATGTTCTAGGAAGCCCTAGATGGAAGCTTCGCCAGGGCCCTAGATGGAAGCTTCGCCAGGGCTGCGAGGGATCTCTACCCTCACATGGTCTAAAGCCGGGCTAAGGTTGAATGAACGCCAGGAGTGTTGAATGATCATGCTGACTACGTCATACTACAGCAACCTTCAGAACTGCAATGAAGCTGCGAATCATCATAGTGTTGAGAGCTAACACTCAGCATGAGAATGGTACTAACCCTCATTTTGTATTTTCAGCAGCCAGACCCACAGCGCCCTAAACCCCCAAACCATCTAATCTGAATGGCGGACCATCTCCGACCGAGTTGGGCAAAAAACCTCGCAGCTCCCTGCAGTATGTCCGGGCCCGAGCCACCAAGCGAGGTTCAGGTTTCCGGTTTGGAGTTGGGGGTCGAGGATTTTTTGGGTTCTGGATTGGGCTTTACGGTTTTATGGCTTTGCGGGCTTAGCTTCAGGGTTCAGGGTTTGGGGAGTTCTTTTTCAGGATTGTTTCTATGGTTTTTGGATTTCGGCAGAGGGTGTTTCGGGTTCAGGGTTTAGTGCTTTCGGTTGTAGGGGGTTTCAGGATGTAGGGGGCCACTGCTACTGCTACCGCCGTTGCTGACAATGCTCATACCGCTGCTGCCACTTCTACTATCTCCAAGAGCAAAACACGACTAGCACAGCAAACCATTCCACTACATCGTCTGAGGCAGGGCTGCTTATCGTCGACGCCGCCATCGCCTGGCCACTTGGCTGCCAGAGCAAGCCAATGGCATATTACGTTTAGGTTCTTGAGCGGTTGACGATTGGGAGTTAAGGGTGTTTGGTCTTAGCTTGAGGGGTAGGCATGACCTGAGAATTAAGATGGAGAGTGAGGTACCTTTATTCAGACAAGCAAGAGTCTGGGTGAAGGGGTTTCTTTCCTCATTTGGGGGAGAGGCTGATTCAGTCTATTCTACGGTCGTTTTTGGAGTTTGCTCTTGCCAGAAGAGTATAGATCCCGCTTGATAAATAGAAACTATCATAATAACAACCATCATCATAATCATAATCATAATACTTATAATAACAATTATTATTATTATTACCCTTCGCCGTGGGCCGAAAGGCTAAACCGACGGCTCCGATTGAGCCATTGTTCTGGTCGCTGCAACCTTTCAGAGAGGGCTACGTGGAGTGCAGCCGAGTGCGACTTCCTTGTCATAAGCCAGGGTTTAGGGAGGGTTTAGGGCTTAGCGTAATAATAATAGTAGTCATAATAATATTAAGAATAAAATACTAGATATTATAATTATTATGATTATGATTATGATTATGATGATGATTATTATTACCATGATCGTTTTTTTTAGTAGTTTTATTAGCCTGGTTATCTCCAGTTTGCAGCAGTGCCTCCGGAGCCCAGGATCGAAGGCCTTTCCGGAGCGGCCAAGAAGGCGGTTTATGGGCTTTCGCCCATGTGGCCCGGCTGCATAAGAATAGGCTGTTGGGCTCCTTTTTGGTATTCTTAGACTATGGAACCCTAAGGCATAAGTAGGTTATTTGAGTCGAGGTTGTCTTCAGAAATTGGGATGCAGGTTGCTTAGGATGTAGATATCCGACAGCTGCAAACCTGAACCCATGCACCCGGACCCTGAATCCATCAGTAAGCTTCTAGGATGCTGGGGCGGATGACGGGTCGATGTTGCAAAGTGAGCCATGTCAATATCATGCATACGTACAGCTTCATGAGTTCCTGTGAACATGTACAGCGGCATGTGATCCAGGTAGGCTTCCCTTCAGGACGCAGTCTCATTCAATATTGCATAAGTGCACTAATATGCATGCACGTAGACATGTTCGCATATGCATACATGATCACATGTTAACACGCCGCATGTGTGTATGTAAGCATGTATGTATGTATGTATGCACTTAAGTAAGTAGGTATGTATGTAAGTATGTCTGTAAGTATGTATGTGTGTATTTATGTATGTATGTATGTATGTATGGGTGGATGTATGTATATATGTATGTATGTAGACTGCAGTGCGAGGACCCCTTGTACATATATGTATATACATATGTATGTATGTGTGTACGTATGTATGTATGTATGTATGTATGTATGTAGTTATGTACAGGTATATGACATGTTGTATACACAGACGATTCACACACGACTCTTCTTAAGCCAACGAGCGCGGAACTGACGGCTTGCCCTGCAACAGCTGTCCGCAGCATCAGCCTGAGCTCAGGAATGAGCCCGCACATCTGGCCGGCTTTCAGATGCTTGCCTTCCGTACTAGTATTGTTGCAACAGCAGCTGGTGATTCCACTACCAGCAGCAAAACGAATTACTGCTGCTACCACCACTGCTACGAGTACCAGTACTGCTGCTGCCACTAGTGCTACTGCTGCTACTGCTGCTACTGCTGCTACTTCTACTACTACTGTACCGCCACAATCACAACTGCTACTTCGCGGACAGGCTACGTAACTTGACTGTTTAACACCCATGCAGCTGCCAGAACAAACAGATTAAGGGATGAGCTGCCGAACCGCACAGATGGCACGATGCATAGAGCGAGCAACAACGGTAACTAATTAGCAAGGTCAACTAGTTAATGTGAAATGGTTATCACTTCTGGCTTTCGAAGGATTACCGAGCAAAGGTGATGTGCATGCTGCCTTGCTTGGGTTTCCGGTCCACTGTCTATTCCGGAATTCTCACAGTCGCATCACCCATTGCTTCTTCCGAGCTACCCTAAACCCTAAAAGCAACCGAGGAATCCTACCTTCGCAGATCACAAAGTGGTGCTGTCCTGGTTGGAAACGGCCACGAAGAAGTTCAGTCGCTCTAAGAGCCTCGGTGAACGCGGGGATTTAGGATGTAGGGGTTTAGGGGTTTAGGGTTTCGTGTATCGAGAGCCGCACACGTTTCTTTCGCACCACCCGACGCACCGAGGCTCGTGAAGCAGGCCGGGGGGGGGGTCTTTCTCCGTCTTGTTTGTTGTCACTCGCAATGCACTAGCCGCTAGCCCCAAACAGCGCAGGGCGGATCACGTGCTGAGGAGGGTAATGGTGATGTCGCCCTTTGTAGCCAGAGCCTGTTTCGGACCTCTCTGTTCAGGATGTGAAGATGTACATGCAGGTGATCGAGAGCCTCTCCTAATATGGTAGGACAAGGTGATGCTTTCTTAATGTGGTTCTCGCTCTTGCAGATGGGAAAACTGGTCACTCGCTTCGACTTGAGCCACTGGCCCTATGCCGGAGGATGCTCCCATAGTAGCTTATGGTATACGAACAGCTTCATAGTACGTCCGAAAGCAAGGGCTGAAGCAGGCATGGGTTGGGCATATTTGATCAAGGGCACGGGTCTGAGGTCAGATTGCCAAGAAAGTAATTGAGCTATGGCCTTACCCTTTCCCGAGCCTGTGAACCTGTATGAGTTCGTAGCCTGGACTAAGCGGTTGTGATTCTGAGAGACACGTATTTGTTGCCGTAATGCCCCAGCCCCAGAGCTAGTATGATGCACGCAGCAAGGACGGCCTTTCCGGGCGACACATTCAATGAAGAGGCAGCTCGGATGTGCGAGCAGTGCCGTGCGAAGGGTTCCTCCTGCAGCCGCAAACACTGGGAACTCAGTGCATGCTTGAATCTGAAGCCCGAACCGAAGAAGTGCCAACAAGACCAACAAAGGACCTGGCAGAATAGTAGTTAGGGCCCAAAAGTCGGTGCAACATCTTTTCGGAACCTTGAGCGGCCATGAGGGAATTAAACTCCAGCTTCCAGAGTCTTGGGTGCTTTCGATCAGCTGGACTTGTAGAAACCATGGTCTTGAGCTTTGCTGGTGAACCCTAAACCCTAAACCCTAAACTTTAAACCCCAAACCCTAAACCCCTAGTGAGGTTCCTTCATGGTGGAAGGAGGTCACCAGCGTGAAGGATCGCAATACCTGGGCCGGCGCCTCAAGGCGCCAGGAGCCGCTTTTCTGGGATCCCCGGGCCGGGCCCCGGAACTCCATATATATATATATATATATAGATAGTATATATATATGTATAGATAGTATATATATATATATATATGTATAGATAGTATATATATATATATATATGTATAGTATATATATAGTATATATAGTATATATAGTATATATAGTATATATAGTATATACAGTATATACAGTATATATATATATATATATATATCTTCTCTTCTCCGAATACCAAGGCTGTGTTTGACATGCACTGGTACACCGCCTGGGGCACGAAGGCCAGGTGCGCTTGCTACTTCTCTTCCTTGAGTCTGGCTTGTCCGACCGATCGTCTGCAAGCTTACAGGTTCAAGTGTCAGGGTTTAGGAAAGTGCTGCGTTCACGATGCGCCTTGAACCCTTCAGCTTCAAGTTCCTGCTAGAGTTACTCTGACTTTCACTGCAGTCCACTCGGTAAGTCAATCTGATAACAACGGTCTTCAAGCACATGCACTACCGCACCACAATGCATCAGAGTATCAGAATACATCAGGGTATACCATCATGCGCTCAAGTTTACACAATGACATCGCACTAGATTGCCCTAAAACCCTAAACCCCAAACCCTAAACCCTGATCCATAATCCCAAAACCCTACATGAAACGACAACATCGCAGGCCGGCCTCCTCCCTGGTGATGCCGCGGTTCTCTGCAGCCAGGGGATTGACAAAATCCTGGAGGCAGCTTTGGGGGGCTCTTGGGGATTTTCGTGCTTCCGAGAGTCAAGGATCATTTCAACTGACCTAATAAAGTATATGTATGTATATATGTACATACATACATAGCATACTAGGAATGACATATAGTATAATAACCTCAGGCCTAGGCCCAATAAACACTGCTGCACTCCATGCCGCAACATGTCCTGAAAGCCGCAACGAACTCGCCAAGTGACGGCCCGGTTGTCAAGCGGCCTTGCGAACCAGAGCTGGGCTCACCTGACAGCAGTGAACCTGCGTCAACTTCCTCCGTCATGCACCCGAAGAGCATGTCCAGCCGAAGGAGTAGATCTAATCTTGACCCTTCAGCCCCTGGCACTTTAAACCTGGCCGGAGCTGGCCGCAGGTCCTGAGTCCGGGAATCGAAGGATTTGCCGAGAGCTTCAAGGCCAAAGTCTAGTGCAACGGGGCGCAGCTATCTTAGGGGCTTGTTGGAAGCTGAAGACGAGGGAAGATTCGGGTAGTCATCGAAACGTGCTGTAGTCTGTGTCGGCGGTAACAAAAGTTTGCGGTATCAAAAGTAAGAAAGTAGACGAGGAGGTTGGAGGGTGAAACTCTGCGGTCGGCCTCCGATTGCGAGCTTGCGGTTCAAAGCGTTGGCGGCAATACTCGTCACCTGGATCATTCGAACGGTGTCGTGGAGCGTTGGGACGCTAGGATGTAGGTTGTCTATATGATGAAGAAAAGAAGGTGGCGTGCCTCTTGCGCTTCCGTTGCCTACTTGCTACTTCGAATGCAGCCAACACCGGCCGCAGCAGACGCTCCGGTAGAACACTTGTTGCAATGAGTGTTGTCGCACTCATCAGAAGCATTGATTGCACGTGGCGCCGTCAGAGCCAAAGGCAGCGAACCTGGTAAGATTTCCACTGCAACCGTCGCTCGCCCTTCGAGAAGGGCTAATTCAAACGACCGCCTAATAAGTGCCATCTGCTGTAGACCCTCTATCATATTACTATTACTATTTCTACTACTATTACTACTACTAGTACTATTACTATTAGCCTTTGATCGATATTTTATTTCCAAGCCTCGAGTTCCCGGCAGGAAAATTTTGATGGCCAGCGAGCTACCTCGGCCTCCTGGCTTTGAGCCTCAGGGTCCTAGGTAGAGCTCGAGGCTTTCTCGATTTTTGGGGTTGTGGGTGTGGGTTTAGGGTTTAGGGTTTGGGGTTTGGGGTTTAGTGTTTAGGGTGGAATCATAAGGACTCTCGTGGAAGCTTCGGAATCTCGTCGTCGTCATAAATGATGTTGGCATCACCTTTTCAAGTCATCTCCCTGCGAAAGTTGTGTTTATATGATGAGCTCCGAGCAGTGAGCTTGAAATACTCCTGAAAGCCTTAGCCTAGCCTTGTTGCCAGCATGCCGAACCCTAGAATGAAACATTAGAAGATACTCGAAGCCTCTCCAGTGATGTGCGGGTGTCGTGAGGAGTTCTCAGCAAGCACGAATGCAGATGCTCTTGCAGCTTGGCAGATTCAGAGGTCTCGGAAAGGGGTTTCACAAAGCGAGATTTCAGCCGCATGCAGAGCTCAGGCAAAGGGGTTGGTTGATCATTGCTCGACTTCCACGGCCCACCCGGCCCCTCAACAAAGACTGCCTGTAGGCCTGCAGGCTGGATGGAAAGAGCCCCTGTGCCAGGCGGCGGCCCAGACCCTAAAACTCCGCCTAAACACAAAAAACCCTAAGCCTAAAGTCTTCGCCGAGGTGGCCTGCGCCGACGTGGCGATTACCAAGGCTTTCATGGAGAAGCAGGCAGGGCCCCCACAGCCCCAAAGCCGAGAAACCTTGATAAAATCTGATCCCCTTCTTATTCCCTACTAACACCCTACAAATACCCTCCTACTGGTACCCTAATGACGAAAACGCCTAAATCCGGAGTGTCGGATCGAGCAAGCCCCGGCCAAGACTCCTTGCCGCTGCTAGGCCCCTACTACGCAACCCTATAGAAGCTGGATCCTACTGGGGTACCATGGGGTAAGTCCCTGTTGAGGAGATAGATTCCTGGAGAGGGGTGTTTTGTCACGAAGTGTATCATGGAAGAAACTGGAGCTCCCTAACAGCATGTTCCACACCACGCGAAGTGAAATTAAGAAGCCAGCGGTTTGGAGCTTAACTTAGATTCTTCAGAACCTGTACGAGTCTTCACACCGAACTGCCTTGTATCCACAAGACGGTTCCGCAGCTGCCCTTCAAGATTTTAAACACAACTGGTGCATTGTTCTTCTCAAGCCTTTGCCCTCTACAACGAAGACAAGGGGTCTGCGTGCCAGCGGCAGCTCGTAATCCTCACCACCACAACAGAAACCCAAGACCCTTACACCACACAGCTTCCAAAAGCCCTGACGTGTCCAAGGTCGAAGTTATGAAGAAGCTTGGAACAAAAAGAGAAGTTGGTTCAGTTTGGTTGCTGAGGTCTCTAGATCTTCCCTGAGTATTTCTCGATGTCTGGCTTCTGTTGGGTTTCGGAAGTTTAGGGTGTACGTTTTCATTTACATGCTTTGCGGCTGGGCGTCAAGGTTTAAGGTTTCGGGTTGCTAGACTTTCTAAGCTCCACCCTTCCCCAAATCAGACAGCATGTTCTCGCCAGAGTGTTTGTGAATCTGTCCAGTAAATACCTCGGAGGGCTTGTAAACCTGGGGACTACCCATTTTCAAGAGCTTTCCAGTCACTATGCAGGGATGATGGCAAAGTATCCACAACAACGTACCCTAAACCCTGAACCCTATAAGCCCTAACCCCTAAACATCTACAGCACTTCACATCGGCGCAGCTCACGCCCCAAACCCTGAGGCCCTTGGGCTCTTCAGCACCCTAAACCCCGGAAGCCCTCTGGGCATGGGCCGCAAGCTCATCCCAGGAAGCATGGAATCAATCCTTACTTCTGGTCTCTTAAGATGCCTTACGGTCGGGGGCCTCAGAAGTCAGGCCGTGCTTAGGGTCTGGGCTGAAGTCACGGGTACTCTTCACGTTTGCTGAGTCCTGCGGGTGAGCAATCGCAACGGTCACGGCTAGTGCAACAATGGCAGAAGCCACCAAAAACCTACACAGAAATTCAGAGTAACCCTCGTCTCTAGCACCAGCGTCATTGCCAGACATGACCAAGCACTAGGTGTATAGCACATCTAAATTGAAACCATGCAACATCCTGCTTGTAGCCTTATCATGTCCCTTGGTATCAGACTTCTGGTTTCCAAAATTTTACAGAGAGATGGGTCAGGAAGGGTTTGGGCATTCGAGCTTGAAAGCATGTACCCTGCAAAAAACTCAACACCGAAGGCGCTAAACCCTACAACCTACGGCCCTACCAAAACCCCTCATTCCGAATTAGCTGCCTCTTGCCTTGCACCCACCTCAGCCATCCTTGGTATTCTGACGTCGGGATAACCGGCAGGAAAGAACAAAATCCCAAGGTCCTGACGCAGGAACCCTAAAGGTACTATAGCGGCCTAAATAATTACCAGTGCGATTTTGGGGATTCCTGATTATGAATACAGTATAGTAGGATGGGCCCCAGGACCCTATTCTAATTATTAAGGCCCCTACATTAGCTGCGCTGCCTGGCTGCAGGCCCCACCTTCGAGTCGCAATGGAGCTTGAAGAAGGTGCCTTGGGATCCTCAGTATCTATACGGGGGATACTTACCCGAACCATAGGCGTAAATTCTACGATGGAAATCATGATTTCTACTACGAAATCGGGGGGGAGGCTTTCAAGGGCTCTGGGTTCGGGCGCATCATCTGCCTCCCAGAAGTCACTTCAGCATGGCTTTCGGAAATACAAAGTCCCTTGCTGCCAGATCTATGGGCTGCAAGAGACGCCGCGCTACCCGTGCGCTGTGGGAGCAGGCCCGACTGCTCCGAGGATTGACGAAGTCACCTTTAGGCTTGAGGGTTCAGGGTTCACCAAAAATGTACAGCGTCAGGCCTTGTACGCCGCATAACTGACCCCGGGAATTTCACCCTGATCCCTCCTGTATGGGGCTTAGCTAAAATCCCACGTGCATTCTCTAGTCTCTCCGCAGCCTGCTCGTGCTTTCTGAAATGAGGCGTCAAGTTTCCAGCCGGAGACGTGCCTTGCTTCGCAGGCGATTGCTCCTTGTCCCAAGGGCCCAAGAGGTTTTCGGGATCTTTTCCCGACCCGGTGTCCTGCACCACATAGCCTGAACCCAAGGTTGATGAGTCCTGCGTCGAAGCTCGCGCCGCCGAAGTTTTACCTGGCCTCCTTCGCACTTTCTGTTGGAAGTGTCACGTTTTTGCGCCCATCTTTGGCGGGCCTCGTTCAATTTAGTGCGGGTCTCTTTTGCTATGGATGCACCCGAAGAGATGCAGCATAGCATGGGCTCCCCATTTGTGCCAAGTTGTGAAACGGCCTTGGTGGTGTGTGCGTAGAACTAGCACAGGGTTGAGAATGCCTGCTGGGAATGCATGACATATGTTTGTAGAACTTGTGCGAAATGGACCGTAAATTGCAGTGATGGTTCAGTCGCAGCACGAGGGGCTTGTCATGTTGCCCTGCTCGGGCATTCCGGCTCTTCCAACAGAGAAGCGGCCGCCCTGACCGTAGTTAGAAAATCTGTTGAAGCCGTGCCAGTGCCAGCTCCCAGAAACCCGCCCTGCCTCGTCAGTACTCTTTCCGAAGCACCGGGCAGGGTTCGATCATGGTAATGCGATCTCTGGACCTGGCCAGATTCCGGCTTCGATTTCATCGCAGCCGCCCTTTGGGTAGGAACGAGCAGAAAAGATCATCTGCGGTAGCAAGCGAAACTTAAGTCTTCTGCTCTTTGTCCTTCTGTCGAAATGCGTAGCATTGCACATGCCGTGATGCTCTCAGAAGCCCGGTCGATGGAGCCTGTCGAGGTGTAGAATCTGCAGTGGTGATGGCGGTGGCAGTGCCAGTGGTGGTAATGGTGGCGGTGGTGGCGGTGGTGGTGTTGGTGGTGGTGGTGGTTGTCTGTCGTCGTGATACACATGCTGACTGGTAGTAATAGTCGTCGTTGTTGTCGAAGCAGCAGAATTGGGGGACCGACAAAACCCTCGCTCGATTAACATGCTAGGCTGCGTGAGCGCAGTACCTTATGACCCCGGTCTTTGTGGGGCAAACGATGCCTACTCATACTTTGTCCCCTTGGCAGCCTCTAGGCTTTGCCATGCCCTCAAGTACTATGATTAGGTCAGTTGCTACTAGTAATGGTTTGAGCTGATGAAGGGAGCAGAAGGAACGGGATCATGCCTGACGGCATCCAGCACTTCGGTACGCGCATGGTCATCTCCTTGCAGACTTCCCCGAGCTCTTGTAGGCCCCAAACCCGAATCCCAGCCCGGTCAAGGTCTCCTCTGGTGGGCCTGGCAGCTGTGGGTTTCGGCAATGCATGTCCGGGAGAAGGCGGACGTGGGAGACGGCTCTTGGGGTAGGTGCAGTGAGAGAGACAGTGTGCCCCAAGAATGTGTTCAGTGATTCTCATGATGGCAAAGGTTGTATATGTGGCAAGCATAGATACAGGCATAGGTCCGAAGCCTCAACCCCCAAGCCTAAGCCCTAAGCAATCAACCCCCAAGCCTTAAACCCTAAACGCTAAGGCGTTCAAAACGGCGTTCACGCAAAAAATGTCCTGAACTTTAAGCCCCCAACCCTAAGCCCTCAAACACAAAAGCCCTAAACCCTGAACCCCCTAAACCCGTAAACCCCTAAACCCCTAAACCCCTAAACCCCTAAACCCCTAGCCCTAAACCCTTAAACCCCTACACCCCTAAACCCCTAAACCCCTAAACCCTAGGCCCTAAAGCAGCCATGGGAAGGCGCTCTCCTCCCGGCATCACGTGTTGCTCCACTCGGCCGTACGGGCTCTGGGGCAGCTGGTGCGGATCCCCAGCTGTGGCCTAGAACGGTTTAGGGGGTTTAGGGGTCAAGGGGATAGGAAGGGGTTAGGACCCCTTGAAAGGGTTCCTTCACGGGATCTAAGAGGGTTCTACAAAGGTTTTGGGGCTTAGGGCTTAGGGGGTTGAGGGGAAAGGAAGGGGTCGAGGGGTTTACGGGTTTCGTGTTAAGGGGTTTCGAGGGGTTCGGGGGATGTAGGGTTTAGGGGTTCAGGGGTTTAGGATTTAGGCTACGGTTAAGTTAAGAGGTTCGGGGTGTAGAGGTTTGGGTTCAGGGTTGTTGTTGTCGTTGCTGCTGCTGCTGCTGCTGCTGCTGCTGCTGCTGCTGCTTGTGGCAAGTATTACTACTGTTGGCTTACAGTGTGGGTTTGGAGACGGCGTGGAAGTAGGTATGAATGATGCTGCTGTGAGCGGGCAGGTCCTCTGGAAGTAGAGCAGCATCTACCAGCTTCCAAGAGCGAATGGACATGCAAACCCTTCACCAAAGTGCCCAAAGACGGCTAGTTCGCGGTAGAACAGCTCGTCATTCAGATTTGGATCAAGAGCCGATAAGTCGCAGTTCGCATACTTAATCTGTTTGCTACTCCGAGCATGGATCTAGACTAAGTACGGTCTGAAGCGACTTTTGCCAGGACATCATCCCCCCAGAGACGCTGCGTTCGGAGTTTTTCCTGCGGTGGCGCCTGCAGGCCTGGCTTTCAGTTTCGGACCGGAGTCACACTACCGACCCCATCAGAGTTTGTGGTTACGGAGACTTCCACCCCATCAGAGTTTGTGGTTGCAGAAACTTCCGAATCATGCGACAGGAAACATGGAGCCTCAACCCCGACCCTCAGCATGTGTGAACCGAGAAGCAGCCGAAGAATGCCCCAAGCCCCTAGTCAGGTACAGCAAGAGCGGCGCAGCAAGGCTGAACGCATGGTCAGCTCAGATGCAGGCGGGGTTGCGACATTGCTGGCATCGGGTTCAGGCTTCATAGGTTTAGGGTTTAGGATCTAGGGAGAGGTTATGGAGTCAAACTCGGAGACATTACCGTCAAGTCTCTCCGAAGGCTGCAAGCCGTCGAAGACGACCCAGACCCCAGAGCCCGATGCCATAAACTCCGAAGCCCCGGAGCTACCAAAATGCTTGGAATCAAGATCACACTGCTACTGGTAACGGGGAGGCCAGCGCGGCACACATGATATGGCACCATTGTAGCAGATGTTTCTCATTGAGCCTAGGAGGTCAACATCCCATCATCAATGGTGGTAGTGTCTAACAGCAGAGCAACACTTGAGAGTGTGGTTCAACATTTTTGCGCCCTAACACCCGACACCCGAAACCCCAAAGTCCGTAAACCCTTAAACGGCGGCCCTACATCCCAAACCCCTGAGGGCCTAAGCCCTAAACCCCGAAGCAGAGTGTGAGCTGTGCTGTATTCGGCAAACTACGCAGCCAAGCTGGCTTTCTAAGCCCTGAACCCTAAACCTTGAACCCTAAACCCTGAAACCTAAACCTTGAAGCCCTGAACCTTGACATCCTAAACCTTGAAATCCTAAACCTTGAAAGCCTGGATGATGGTTAATTACCTATACCGTTTTTGGGGTTCTATTTTTTTATGAAGACAGTCTATGCCCTATTCCAACTATTAAGGCCCTGATGGTAGTTATCTGCAGATCGGCTGCGACGTGACCTGCGCTCCCTGGGCCGTCATGCATCGGCGAAGGAGAGCTCGTCAGGATGAGAAGGAAAGGTTTAGGGTTTCGGGTTTAGGGGTTCAGGGTTTCGGGATTGAGGTTGAGGGTTTAGTGTGTTCAGGGTTTGAGGTTTAGGGCTGTCGGGTTTGAGGTTGAGGGTTTCGGGTGGTTTGAGGTTAAGGGTTTCGGGATGCAGGTTGAGGGTTGAGGGTTGTGTTGTCGGGTTTGAGGTCAAGGGCTTTGGATTGGCGCTTTGGGGTTTTAGGGTTTAGGGTTTAGGGCTCAGGGTTTGAGGTTGGGGGTTTAGGGTTTTCGGGGTTGAGGTTTCGGGTTTAAGGGTTTGTGGTTTGGAGTTTCGGGTTGAGGTTCAGGGTTTTCGGGGTTTGGGTTCAGGGTTTTAGGGTTTAAGGTTTCAGGTTGGAGGTTTATTTTTTGGGTTTGATGTTATCGCGGTTTAGGTTCAGGACGGTTTGAGGTTTTCGGGTTTCAGGTTCAGGGTCTTCAAGTCTTGGGGTTTGAGCTTTAGAGCTTTAGGGCTTTAGGGCTTTGGGGTTTGAGGGTTTAGTGTTTTAGGGTTGGAAGTTCAGGGTTCCAGGTCTGAGATTTGCATAGGGTCTTGGGGTTTGAGGTTGGAACCGGGTAGGGGTGGGTTGAACCTGGCTTCGAACCCTTGTGACAAACTGGGCTCCACGCACGGAGCGTAGCAGGTGTGTCTTTACGAACGGCACTAAGTCGGCCAGGTTTGAGCTGTCTTCACAGTTAATGCGGCTGAGCCACTCAGTCGAGGAAACATGAACTGAACACACCAGAACAAAAAAACAACGCAAGACAAACCCGCTTTCAGATTTGGTTGTTTTGAGTTTTGCTTTTTTTTGGCAAGCCCCAAGCCTGGAATCCGAATTGTCATTCCTCGATAGCTACAAGCCAGCCCCGAAAAGGGGCCAAGTTGTGGAAAACGGAACAAACAACCAGAGCCAGTACCACAATGACCCTAAACCCCTAAACCCTAAACACCTAAACCCTAAACCCACAAAACCCGTTCGGCTCTATCCCCAAGGGCCAAGAGCCTCGAGGCACTGAGCCCCAGCTGCCGAAACCCTAAACCCTAAAACCCCAAACCCTATCCCCAAACTCAACGTGGCATCAGCCGAAGGAGCTCCTCTCGTCTTCCTTTGTGGGCCCGCAGGTTCGTGCTGGGCGGGGTACATCGCCTGTCATAAACCCTATAGAAATATACATTACATCTTATATATATACACATATATATATATATATATATGCACATACATACCTTTATGTACACGTACATATACTGTGTAAATCATAAAATACGTATAATGTATGTATCTGTATATATATATATATATATATATATATGCATATATATACATATACATATATATATATATATATATATATATGCATACATATGCATATATATATATATATACATATATATATATATGCATATATATATATATATATATGTATATATAAGTACAACAAATCTATACGGGTATATATATATATATATATATATATATATATATATATATATATATATATATATATATGATATGTATATATATATATATATATATATCTATATATCTATATATATATATATATATATATTGCAAATAAATAAGTAAATCTCTACATCTATACACATATCCATACATATGTATACATATATATATATATATATATATATATATAGATAGATACATATGTGCATACATATATACATACATATATACATATATGTATACATTTGTAATGGGGATAAAGCAAGCTTGAGGTCCTAAAGGCGTGAAGCTGAGTTCGAGGCTTCATTACTTTTTCTGGCCTAGACTTGCGCCGTCGCCAGGCGCAGCTTTCCCGACTCTCTGTCGTTGTTGACGAACTACTGGACAAGCTGGATGTGCCCGCTTGGGGGCTGGTCTAGAGTAGGATTCCATTCTCTGGGTCTTGGAAGAGGACCCAGTTTTCAACACGTGTTTTACTTTTTTTGCGGACGGGGGGGTGGCCACCCCAAGCAAGATCTGAGTCCTGAGCACAGCCCTCCAGCAGAAGCAGATGGGTGGCCATGACGAGCAACACGCTCCAGCCAAGCTGAAAGCCCAGTGAAGACGCTTCAGCTTTCACATGAGATTGCAGAGCTGCCTTGTCGATTGCAGATGCATGCATGTTGCCGCGCGTGAGCAGTGTGGGTGAGTCGCACAGGTTGAAGCATTCCGACGGATTCTGCTTGTAGTGCGGGTGGTCACATGGAGGCCGCAATGACGAGCAACACGCTCCAGCCAAGCTGAAAGCCCAGTGAAGACGCTTCATCTTTCACATGAGATTGCAGAGCTGCCTTGTCGATTGCAGATGCATGCATGTTGCCGCGCGTGAGCAGTGTGGGTGAGTCGCACAGGTTGAAGCATTCCGACGGATTCTGCTTGTAGTGCGGGTGGTCACATGGAGCCGCAATGACGAGCAACACGCTCCAGCCAAGCTGAAAGCCCAGTGAAGACGCTTCAGCTTTCACATGAGATTGCAGAGCTGCCTTGTCGATTGCAGATGCATGCATGTTGCCGCGCGTGAGCAGTGTGGGTGAGTCGCACAGGTTGAAGCATTCCGACGGATTCTGCTTGTAGTGCGGGTGGTCACATGGAGCCGCAATGACGAGCAACACGCTCCAGCCAAGCTGAAAGCCCAGTGAAGACGCTTCAGCTTTCACATGAGATTGCAGAGCTGCCTTGTCGATTGCAGATGCATGCATGTTGCCGCGCGTGAGCAGTGTGGGTGAGTCGCACAGGTTGAAGCATTCCGACGGATTCTGCTTGTAGTGCGGGTGGTCACATGGAGCCGCAATGACGAGCAACACGCTCCAGCCAAGCTGAAAGCCCAGTGAAGACGCTTCAGCTTTCACATGAGATTGCAGAGCTGCCTTGTCGATTGCAGATGCATGCATGTTGCCGCGCGTGAGCAGTGTGGGTGAGTCGCACAGGTTGAAGCATTCCGACGGATTCTGCTTGTAGTGCGGGTGGTCACATGGAGCCGCAATGACGAGCAACACGCTCCAGCCAAGCTGAAAGCCCAGTGAAGACGCTTCAGCTTTCACATGAGATTGCAGAGCTGCCTTGTCGATTGCAGATGCATGCATGTTGCCGCGCGTGAGCAGTGTGGGTGAGTCGCACAGGTTGAAGCATTCCGACGGATTCTGCTTGTAGTGCGGGTGGTCACATGGAGCCGCAATGACGAGCAACACGCTCCAGCCAAGCTGAAAGCCCAGTGAAGACGCTTCATCTTTCACATGAGATTGCAGAGCTGCCTTGTCGATTGCAGATGCATGCATGTTGCCGCGCGTGAGCAGTGTGGGTGAGTCGCACAGGTTGAAGCATTCCGACGGATTCTGCTTGTAGTGCGGGTGGTCACATGGAGCCGCAATGACGAGCAACACGCTCCAGCCAAGCTGAAAGCCCAGTGAAGACGCTTCAGCTTTCACATGAGATTGCAGAGCTGCCTTGTCGATTGCAGATGCATGCATGTTGCTGCGAGTGAGCAGTGTGGGTGAGTCGCACAGGTTGAAGCATTCCGACGGATTCTGCTTGTAGTGCGGGTGGTCACATGGAGCCGCAATGACGAGCAACACGCTCCAGCCAAGCTGAAAGCCCAGTGAAGACGCTTCAGCTTTCACATGAGATTGCAGAGCTGCCTTGTCGATTGCAGATGCATGCATGTTGCCGCGCGTGAGCAGTGTGGGTGAGTCGCACAGGTTGAAGCGTTCCGACGGATTCTGCTTGTAGTGCGGGTGGTCACATGGAGCCGCAATAAGACGCTTCAGCTTTCACATGAGATTGCAGAGCCGCCTTTTCGAATGAAGATGCGTGCATGTTGCCGCGCGTGAGCAGTGTGGGTGAGTCGCACAGGTTGAAGCATTCCGATGGATTTTTGCCTGTAGTACAGGTGGCCACATGGAGCCGCAATGACGAGCAACACGCTCCTGCCAAGCTGAAGCAGTTGTGAAGATAGGCTGACTTCCACATGAGATTGCTGAGCGATAGCTTCATTCTTCATGTGCCGGGTGCGTATCTTGGATGTCGCTTGAAAGGAGTGTTTCAAAATACGGATTGTTTTCTGCAGCCCATGCTGTGGCAGTGCATCGACATCAGAAATCGTCGTCCAAGATGTTGTGCGGGGCTCGAGTTCAGTCTTGGGAACCTAAACGACTTAGTCAACCCAGTCATTTTTTTCAGACTGGGGTGTGCGAGGGTGCTGTGGCTAGTTTAGGGTTCGGCGTTGAGGGTTGAATTTCCGAGTTGAGTGGTGTTGCTTTTGCTGGTGTGTGCCCTCAGTCTCAGTCTTGTGCATGTTTGGATGTGAGAAAGCGTGGCGTAGCAGGTGGAAGAGGGTCCTCAGCCTTAGAACCCTATAAGTGGACCTCCATCGTTTTCAATTGATTCAATTGAACAGGTACGTCGTGCTGCTCCGCTGGCACGGCCCTTTGAGTTTGGCTCGCTTCAGGGTTGTTACTTGTCCCAGGTCTGGGCTTAGGAGTTTCATCACTACAAGCGCGTCACATTGTGGCTTTATCATCATCTTCTTTAGTTGATTGTTCCTGTTCCTGTCGTGTTCATTTCAAGCACTCCGCAGAGTTCAGGGATTCGGCCGCCTCTTTGCAAGAAGACCATCCGCCATGACCGCCGACGCTGAAGTTGGCCAGAAAAGGAATTCCTCTGGGCGGGTAGCCTCAGCCAGCAACTGTGTGTCACTACCAGGCAGCCGCAGCAGCCCCGCGATCGAGCCTCCGCAATCGAGGTGGACATGCCATGATCATTATGAGGACGTTCGTGGTTGCCCGAATGATGTGAATAGGGTATATTGTACCAAAGCAGTACACGGCCCACAAGAGGATAATAGAACAAAGCATTGAGACCTCCCCATTCTTGATGATGGCCGCGCTGGTGGTGATGGTGTCTGGTGATGATGGTCGTCCACACGTTCAGACATCAAGTTTTGTATCCAAAGGCACAGTACTGTTCGCATTGACGATGATGAATAAACATAGCAGTCTTACCCATCCCTGTTGTCGTACTCAGCCAGCTGCGAAACCACAACGCTGGATGACTGCCAATTTCTCAAATCCTCGTAGGAACAATGAAGAATTTCCCCAAGTCCAGTACTAACACCAATACTGAGGAATTCAGGACACGAGTGTTCACAACTAAAGATGGCAGTACGAGGAGCAAGCGCGAACTTACACCCAACCACGCGGAAGTGGCCAAGCAGGTTTATTCAGTGTCTCAAGCCAGTGTATGTAGGCCCAGCATGCACAAGGAGCATGAGCAGTGCGAATAGGTATTGCTCAGGCAGGATGCATGCAAGTTTCGTATGCAACGGCCAGCCCAGGCTGATGTCAAAGGCAAGTACAAAGTACTTGGAGGGTCGGGGGACTTAGTAACTGGTTACTTTAGGGACTTATAAGTACCATAGCCCCAATTAGGGTCCCTTTTAGGGTACTTATAAGTCTACTTACTAAGTCCCCCGACCCCCCAAGTACAACTCGAACAGCGCCTCAGGCAACGATGATGTTTTGGACCAGGCTGGCAGGGAGGGAACGAGCAGGGTCACAGTGTCCCGGTCAGGAGACGTCAGCAGGTGGCACTGAGGGCTGAAACTTCCAACATTAGAGCTTAAACCTCATACCCTAAATTTCAACCCTACAACCCTGAACCCTGAAACCTTAAACCCCTAAACCCGTAGAAAGCCCAAAAGACCTAAACCCAGAGCCCTGGACCGCTCGCCTCTAGCAAGCTTCCATAGGCCGCACCGGAAAAGAGCTGTCAAAAAAGCACCCACCAGCCCTAAACCCTAAACCCCTGGACACCTAAACCCCTGAATCCTAAAATCCCTAAGCGCTTAAATCTTAAAGCCTCGACCCCTGGACCCCTGCACCCACAAACCTGAAGCTCTAAGCATAAACCCTAAACCCTAAACGCTTTTTGCCTCAACGTCCACTCGCCGGAGCCAGCTTGGCTTGGAGGCCCGCCGGAGCGCCGGAACTTGCACCCAGACTCAGGTGTACATATATAGATACGTACACATGTATGTATGTATGTATGTATGCATATACATAAGAACTAGTAATGAACGACAACAATTAAAAGATGTGAAATAACAGATCTGGAGATATATAAAAAGCAATTAAATGAATAAACATTTTCGATGTAAGAAAATATGCATGCACATTTATAGACTCTCCCTGTTTGCAAGAAGCGTTTTTCGGGTACGTAGGTTTCGGGTAAGGGGTTGTTGAACCTTCCAGGGTCTCTGGGGCGCGAACCTGTACAAGAGTAAAGGATCCGGGCACGAGCAGCTTCTGACACTTGTGAGAAGACCCTAAAATAGAAAGTGCAAAAGCGTACTACTGGAAGCCTGATAGTACCCTTTATAGTATCCCTTATAGAACTCTGACCACCCAGTGACCCGTAGACTTCTCGCGAACCCGGCTCCTCCCTGCCCTTGGGCTTTCTTCTTGAAGCTTTGCTTTGGAGCAGCCGACCATCTCGTCCTCGCATCCATGGGCAGCGAGCCCTCGCCGGATGCTGAAGCCCATCGATGCCTTGTACTGCACTACGATCGGGGCCACTGGGAAGAACTGGCAGCTTGCCATTCTCCTGCAGCTCGGACGGAGTTGGTAAACACTGTTGAGGGGGGTACGGTCTCTGCAGCCTTGCAACCCTTTGCCACGGCAGTCCTCTGCAGCGACGGCTAACCATGTGCGCGTGCCCTCGAGCGAGAAAGGCTTGTGTGGAGCAACGTTTTGCTGCTGTGTTCTGCCGAGTCACTGCATCCAGCAAACGCGCCAGCGAATGAATTCGAGGTTCCTGGAGATCGGCGAACGCTCGCTGCCCTACGATGCCATGGCTTTCGGGGCGACTATCAAGGAGCTTCGGCTGGGAAGGGGTCAGGCCTAGGGCTGTGTTGCAGTAGCAGTAGCAGTCGCAGTGGCAATGGCAATGGCAGTAGCTGTAGCAGTAGCAGTAGTAAGTAGCAGTACTAGTAGTAGTCGTGGTGGTGGTAGTAGTAGTTGTAACAGCATCATCTTCATTTTCATTCTCATCACTATCACCATGCTCATGTTGTGTGTTGCCGAGGTTTGCGCTTCTGCCGGGCTCTGGCAGCTAGCGCTGTGGCTCCTGCGACTGGCCATGCAGTGGTTTCTGGGTTGCTTCCAGCGGCTGGAGCTTGGGCAGGCAGGTTTGGTTCGTACTACTTTGTGGGTTCAGAGCCTTCAGATTCCTCGCTTGTCGGCTCGTGCTCCTTGCAGTGGCAACGTGTTTCGCATCCCGAGGCTTTTCCAGAGCCCACGCAAGAGCCAGTTAGTTGAAATGCTATTATTACTATTATTACTATTATTACCATTATTCTATTATTACTATTATTACTATTATTCCTATTATTACTACTATTACTATTATTACCATTATTACTATTATTACTATTATTACGATTATTACTACTATTACCGGGTTAACCGTGCGGCACTGGGCGCGCTCAGGACCGAGATGGCCAGCGAGCAGCTCCGAAAGAACGCCATCGTGCGCCTCAGTTGCACAAAGGCGACTCTATATCAGGTTTAGGGTTTAGGGTTTAGGACCGATCCCTTATTGGGGGTTCCTATAAAGTAGCCTTAGTAGTATAGGGCCCCAAATTACGGGATCTACTTTCTACTCTTTATCAGAGGACCCGCCCATGCGCTGCGGCCAACCTTAGTTTGCTTTAATCTGGAACACTTTATCTTCTGTTGACGAAGCTGACACCTATTTTGCGGGCAGCGCAGGTGCAGCGCAGCCATTACGGCCTGCACTCGAGGCGGATGGTCTTTGTGCAGCGTCGGCTGCGGGGTTTGGGTTTGCTGTATGTACGATGTTGTCTGGCGGAGTTTCGTGCGAGGGGAGCAATGGCCAGATGCCGTCGCCCTCTTCGAAAGGATGCAGAGCCGACAGGCGGGCTACAGGGCTTCCGCGTTTCCCATTCAGGGCTCCTGCCCCTCTTACAGTGTTTGTGATGTAGGTCGACAGCGACCTGGTTGCCCACAACGCAGCCATGGCGGCCTTCGGGTGCCCTCGGAGCAATCTGCAGCGTCTGCTTTAGTTCATGTGCCACCCGTCCCGTCCATGACCGAAAGATCCGACGCCTGGGCCACCCAGGGCCGGTGGACGGTGGCTGCAGTCCTTGCGGATGCTGCCCCCGGTGGGGAGCAGCCACAGCTTTGGCATCGCCATCAGCGCCAGGGCGGGAGATAGCATGGGCTTCTACTTACTACTTCTCATCGAAATTTCTGGAGCCTTGGCCCACTTGTCGCTCAGGTGCGTGCCAAGATGCAGCGCAGTGGGAGGCGGCTCTCCAGATGCTGCCTTTATCTGAGACGCGGGTCGAAACGACTCTCGGAGCCAGGATTTGCGAGCATCTCCTAGTGAAAGCAACAAACAGCCAGCTCGTAAAAGGAAGGGTGAAAGTCACAGAAAGCAAGCATCTTCATGTCACTTCTTCACAGATGCCGAGTCCTTGCCGACCAAGGCTTTGTTACATGGGTAGAGAGCGCGTCATCACGTCCCTGCCCTGGCGGGGGCCAGTGGACATCCCAAGTAGTTATTTCATTATTACTACTATTATTACTAGTATTATTATTACTATCATTTTTATTACTATTATTATTATTGTTATTTTGCTTCTGCACGCGCCCTCTTTGGAAGTCAAGCGCTGCTGAGGAACGCATTTATGTACAGTGCGGCCATCAGCTCTTGCGCCAAAGGCAGCGCTTGGCAAGTGGCGATCTGGCTGCAGCTGGGCTGCATGGTCCTATACTACTATTATTATTACTATTATTATTATTGTTATCATTATTATTATTACTATTATTATTATTACCATTATTGCTATTATTACCATTATTACTATTATTACTACTATTACTATTACTATTACTTGGGATTTCGTTTGTGCCTCCGTTTCCTTAGTGAGGCTCTCTGCGATGCAGCTTTCGAGGCTGGCAGCTTAGAAAAAGGGTTTCTAGAGGAGCCCAGAAGGCCGAAGCAGGTTGCGGGAGCTTTGATTAAAGGGGAAAAGGAGGGACCCTTACTGGGGACCCCTACCCTATAATGGGCTATATAATGGGTATATAATAGCTATATTGAGGGTATATAGCTAGGGGTCCTTATTAAGGGTCCCTCCTTTTACCCTTGGATTTGAGAGAGAGAGCAGGCTGGAGAGCAGCCTCATAGCTCACAACGCGGCCATTGCAGCGTGTCGCTCGGTTGCTGGATCTGCGAGCCGTGGCAGACTCGGGGGGGGGGGGGGGGGGGGGGGGGGGCAAGTGTGAGGCTGATATGCGTTTGCTTCGTGTGCGTTCTGAGGTGAGCATGACGACCAGTGGCAGCGTGCTCTTTTTTTCCTGGATAGCCTCCAACATGAGCAGCTGCGGAGCAACATCATCACCTATTCTTCCACTATCAATGCGTGTGCCAAATGCGGGCAATGGCAAAAGGCCTTACAGTTGTTCGCAGACCTGGCACCCCTACGAATTTCTCCGAACATCTTTGCCTATGGTGCGGCATCTCGTCTATGGATACCCAAGACATGTGTCGGCCAGCCGTCAGAGCCCTAAGCTCCTGATTGATAATAGTTGATGATCGTTGATGTTTCAACTCTGACCAGGTGTATTTACACTTATAAACAGTGACTGGTAACAAGTGGTATAATCAATGCCTTCCATATCCTGCGAAGCCCCGAAGCCTTTGAGAATCTACCCTAAACCCTAAACCCTAAACCCGAGGTACTGGCTGCCGTCTCGGATGCTGTCGAGTGGAGCCAAGCCTTGGCACTGCTGGGCCGCTTGCGGGCCGAGGGCAATCTGCAGATGAATTCGGTCGCCTACAACGCAGCTCGTCGTAATAATAGTAATAGTAGTAGTAATAGTAATAGTAGTAATAATAATAGTAATAGTAATAATAATAGTAATAGTAGTAATAATAGTAATAGTAGTAATGCCATGCAGAAATGAGGTAGCCATGGTACTAATACCAAGCAGAGTATGTGAGTCAGCAAGGCGGCCATTCGTGCATGCGAACGAGCTGGGATGTGGCAAGTGGCCGTCAGCCTTTTCGAGGAGATGGATGTGAGGCCAGGGCATGACATGGAGCAAGAAGCCAGGTTTTGCGTGTCTTTGTGCCTTCGCGAGGCGCCTGGCACCAGACCAGTTCACCGGAAGTACCGTCGCGCCTGCATTGGCTGCATCGGGAAAGAGGCAGCGGATCTAGTTTGGGGGGAGGGGGGAGGGTTGTGACGTTCTGACACAGCTGAGGCCAGCATAGGAACAGCTACTGCTGGCGGGGTGCTACACATGCTACGCCAACGGGACACTGAACAGCATGACTGGAGGAACATGCAGACGGAATTCCCAGATCCCGATAAGAGCTGCTATGTGACCAGATGCTTCCCATATGCTTAAGCTTCTCAGGCAGGAATGCAAATGGATAAGCTACAAACAGTTACAAGTATTATTATTATTGTTATTATTCTTATTATTACCACTATTATCACTATTATTGTTATTATTATTATTATTACTATTAGCTTCAAACCTCAACTCAAGGCAGGCAGCGAGCCATTTTCTTTCGCGGTTGGAGGAGCAGTCCGTGCAACACGAGGCACGGGGTAGCAGTGATCAGCACAAGCTGGGTTGGGTGTAGGGCGTATAGGGTTTTCAGAGTTGTTTTGTTTCAGCCAGCGCAGCTGCAGAGCTACCGCAATTCGAAGTCGTGGGGCGAATGGAAGTTAATTTGGTCTACTTCGGGGCCTTAATAGCTACCTATAATTATACTATAGTGGGTCCCAAAACCCTATTCTAATTCTTAAGACCCCGACATTACCGGGGTGTGTGCATGCCATGTGCAGAGTGTACCGGAGCTGCTTCTTTTAGCACCGCGGCCGGGGGCTCGGACATCTCGAACCAACAAAAAGAACCACAGACATGTGAATTTCAAGGATTGAACTTCATCACCAAATACTCCAAATATGGAACAATCAATGAATGGTAAGGTTTGAGCACGTTGGTATGAGCAAGTGAGCGGACATCGAACTTCAAACTCTTCAAACTCGTAACTCTTGAGATTTGAAACTCAAGCTTCCAATGGCTGAGACTCTCAAACCATGAGTTGGTGCTCCAAACTTTCAGCCCCTGACTGTTTGAAGTGATCGACTTTCGAACTAACAGAGCCAACAATCTCTAAGTCTGTCAAGCTTTCAAGCGTCCGACATGCGAACTGTCCTTCTTTCAAGTTCCCAGGTTCGACTTCTACCTGCCAAACCTTCAACAATCTCGGGTTCCTTATCAGAGGATCTGTTTTTTGCTTGAGCTTTGTTATGCCCAGGAACCTTGAAGCCTCCCAGGCCCTGGGTGAACCCCACTGTTACTTGCAGCCACCGATAAACGTTCATGAGGTGCCCTTCTCGTATAGTCCCGGAGAGCATAGGCTTTCCCTACTCCGCCCCGCCGCCCCCTGAGTGATCAGGCGATCGCCTACAGCGGGATGGTCAATGCCTGCTCCAAGATGCAGGATGCAATGTTTGCAGCTGGTTGCAATGTGCAAGTTTTTCCGGCCGGAGATGTTAATGTGGCTAGCTGAAAAGCTAATACCACGAAGCTATCATCTGTTCCCTAGACCCTAAACCCCAAACTTTAAGCCTTAAGGTCTGCTAGCTCGTGAGCTGTGCACATCTTTCTCAGGTCCAGCGTTCCAAACGGTGAGAGTCCCAGAGCCTGCCGTCTCCCCAAGCTCTATGATGGGCAGACAGCACACGCAGAGCTCTCAACCCAAGAAACCCTAAACCCAAAGCCCTAAACCCTATAAATCCTAAACCGTAAACCCAAGCCCTCAAGCGCCAGAAAAGCCTTGGCACATCTTGGCACCCCGGAACCCCAAGCCCTAAATCCCCAACCCTAAAATCACTGAAGCCCTAACGACTTCCAGCACTGCATTGTGGTATGCGAGGATGCATAACTTTTATTGAAAAATATGTCATATATAACACACACAATATATATATATATATATATATGTATATATATGTATACATATATATATATATATATATATATATATATATATATGGTCACCCCCCCCCCCATGACAGACCGTCGTCTTTAAAACATCGCTCCCACCGGCGTGTTCGTGCTTTTTCCGGAGTATCGAGTTTGAGCCCTCCGAACGTATCCCTGGAACCACCAAAAGACTGAGACCAGAAAGCAGCACGATAAGGCGCGCGGGTGTCCTACCAAGAAAGGAATTACAGAGCACACGTGTATGGATGAGGGTTGTGCTGACACACTACATAGTAAGCACTACACAGTAATCTTACTTGAGTCATATATAGAGCAGATTCCAGCATTTCCAAAATTTCCAAAATTTCCAAAATTCTCTCCCCTAACTTTCCAGATTTCCAAAATTTCCAAAATTTCCAAAATTTCCAAAATTTCTAAAATTTCCAAAATTTCCAAAATTTCCAAAATTTCCCGACCTAGTCGACAGGATTTTTCCAAAACATAAGGGCGGACTTTTTGGAAATTTTGGAAATTTTGGAAATTTTGGAAATTTTGGAAATTTTGGAAATTTTGGAAATTTTGGAAATTTGGAAATTTTGGAAATTTTGGAAATTTTGGAAATCCGGAAAGTTAGGGGAGAGAATTTTGGAAATTTTGGAAATTTTGGAAATGCTGGAATCTGCTCTATATATGACTCAAGTAAGATTACTGTGTAGTGCTTTTAACACTAACGTTGACATGTATATTAATGCTTTCATTTCGAATATGCACATTACTAATTCTATTATTAACATTAATACTCCTACGCCTACCAATAGTCATATTCATATTGATATTAATGCCAATACTAACAGACACCTGCGTATATTAATGTCCGCAGATATACATACCACTATCTGAAAAGCAAATATATCAATGCATTCGTGTACTAACGTAGTATATTCGTATTTAATTTGTCATATACCCAGTTTCCAACGTGACAATATACTACTTGTTAACGTCTGATTATACTGTATTGATATGCTAACTTGCTAAGACACGAATACTGTAATATGCAAGTACACTGACACATGGCAATGGTATACTAACATATGGATATACCAAAAAAGTTGTTAGATAATATACGAATATGATAAATGAAGTAGCATACCAGGATACTCATACACTAATATGTTAATAATCGAAGATAATAGCACACCAATATACTAATGTACTCATGCACGAACGTACGCATGCATTAATATACTAAGAGCATACAAACATGCAGGTATACAAACATATTACTGTTCGAATACATTATAATGTGTTGGTATACTAAGCTGTTTATATAATCTATCAGTATACTAATATATCAAAACTAATTATAGTATTGATACGCATACTAGCACGTCCGCGAATATTACACTGATGTTAAATTCATCATTAAGACTGATTAAAACTGACATCGACATTGGCACTGGCATCAACACTAATTATCACTAAATATGCTAGTGTACTAATATACGAATACTGTAAAAGGCAAGTACACTGACATGTTCACATGCCATTATGCCAACATATTGATATACCTATAAGCTATTAGGGAAAATACGAATATAGTAAATGTAGTAATAGACCACTATAATAATATACTAATATACTACTACGTTAACATACGAATATCATGATACACCAATATACTAATGTACTCATGCACCAACGTACTAATATATTCGCGCAATCTTCAACTCTGCAAATATACTATAGTTCGAATACATTACTGTATTATTATATTAAGCTCAAAATGTACGAATCAATCAGTATATTCACATATCAAAACTATTTCTATTACTGATACTAATACCAGCACTTCTGTGAATAATAAACAGATACCAAAACCAGCATTCAGACTGATACTAATACTAGCACGAGTACTATTACTGACATTGACATCGACACTGGCACTAACACCAGCACGAACATAATCACGAGTTCATATTTACTATTATTGATATGTATACTTTTATTCAATACTAATACTAATACTGATGCTAATACTAATACTAAATACCAATACCAATACTAGTACTAAAGCAATACCCATCCTAATATCAATACTACCACAAAACTATTACTCATATGAACACTGATACCAGGATTAGGACTACTACAAACAATGACAGCAGTACTAAGAATAGAACCAAGAACAATACATATTAATCCTAACACTAATACTAGTACTAATACTAGCTACTAATTCTAATACTCATACTCATACCAATACTAATGTCACCACTACTGCTGCTACTACTACTGCTACTACTACGACTACTACTACTACTACTACTACTACTACTAGTACACATACTTAATACTAAAACTAATACTGATACTCATACTAGTCACTAATACTAATACTAATACTCATTCTAATACTAATACAAATACCAATACTAATGCTACCACTACTACTGCTGTGCGACAACTATTGCTAGTACGACGACTACTACTATTAACATCAATACACATACTTAATGCTAATACTAAGAGTAATACTAATTCGAATACTATTACTCATACTAAACATCCTAATATCAATACTACCACAAAACTAATACTAATGCTAACACTGATACAAGAATTAAGATCTACAAACAGTAATAGTGGTACGAAGAGCAGAATTGAGATTAAGATTGGGACTAGGAGCGCTGCATGCGTGTGAAGAAATTTCCAAAAATTGCAAACCATCTAAAAGAACATTTTGGAATTGAGTTTGGGAGAAGTGTCTGTCGCCTATCCGTTGACAGATCCTGCCTGGGGACGCACGCCACCCTTCCCCTTCCCCACGACGGTCTGTCATGGGGGGGGGGGTGAGCATATATATATATATATATATATTTATACACACACTTATGTGTATGTACATATATATATATATGTATACATATGTATATACATATATATATATATATATATATATGTATGCACATATGTATATATAAGTAAAGAAACAAAGACATAAGCACACAAATACAAATATATATATATATATGTATATATACATACACACACATATATATATATATATCAATATATTTATGTATGTATATATATATATATATATATATATAATGCAGGAGTGGCAGCCGGCCTTGGCTTGGCTTCTCTCGGCGAGCAGCAAAGGTTTCTGCTCGAATGCCATTGCAGCCCTGGCCTTACTACAGGGGCCTAGATAATTACCTGCAGGGTTCCTTTGAAGGGGTGCTTAAGGGTTATAAGGGATTTATGAGGGTACTAGTATATAGGGGCCTAAATAATTACCTATACTATTTGGGGGTTCCTTATTGTAATTATGGACTAATGGCACCAAAACCCTACTCTAATTGTTAAGGCCCATGCTTGCGAGTTTATTGCTTGTACAGTTTAGCAATGGACACGTCCCTTGGACTTTTCGCCCAGCGCAGAAGAAGAATGCCCATACATTATCCATCAGGATCAGGATCGGTCTCGGCTAGTTTTCGGTAGGGGGGCAGGGACAGGTCGTTTTCCAGGGAGACACCTGGCGGCACATACCTGATACACACATACTTACATACATGCATACACCCATGCATACATACAGACGTACATGCACACAGACACACACATGCACACTCGTCGGTGTGTGTACATAAAGGTAAACAAGCAATCACGTAAATAAACTCATAAGCAAACAAGTAGGTGAATCAATCCTGTATATGTGTTTCTATATTTTTATGTGTATCTGTATGTGTATATGTATGTGTGTATGTATATCCTTTTATCTATCTACACACACATAAAGGAGAGTAGACAGACACACACACACACAAACACACACACACACTCTCTCTCTCTCTCTCTCTCTCTCTCTCTCGCTTCATACACACATATATATATATATATACACATGTTTATTTGTATTTGTATTTGTACAAAAATGGGTTGCAAGTTCCTCGCCTCTGGCTTGCATAAGCAGCTTTGGGCTGTGAGCATCTTCGCCATGCCTGAAGCTGCACGCACCATCGCAGTAGACAAGCTTATGCCGCTTATGCCTCCAGTGTAGATGCCCAGCTACATCATCGTAACCACAGGATTGCTAGATGCAGTGTGTCATCCTGCAAGCTAACTACCGCTCCGAGGTTAATGCAGCCGTCTCTGCTTGTTGTGAGTCTCGCTGGGGGCTGCTGGACCGCAGCCAGTGCTCAAAGTCAGCTCAGTGAGAAAACCGCATTGAAGAGGTTTCGGTTGGATTTTTTGGGACAGGTGGGCGCTGCTGCTCCTCACTGAGTCTGCTCAGTTTATGGAGGCCAGGTGCATTAAGTTCGTCAGCTGTGCCTGGCTGCTGAAGCCGAATGCTGCCGAAGTTGCAAAGGCATAGATCTGGCTGTGCTGCAGCCATTTGGTGTCAAGAGCTCGGAGCACAGTTGAGAGCCGTCTTTTTGCACAGAGCCGCTTGTTTGATCGCAATGCTCGCCCCAGCATTCGTCGCAACGGCCCCGACTCCGGTCGCCCGCCTGCCAGCACAGAGCTTCGTGGAATCCACAAAGCAATCTGCGCATGGCAGCGCGCAGCTCGGAGCAACCCAAACCCAGTCTATCTTGGCCGGAATCGCTGGGATCGCCGGGATTGCCGGCCTCGCCCAGCAGCGCAACACAAGAAAGGCCAAGATGACGGCTCGTCGGTTCTCCATCCAGATGCCTCAGATACCCTTCATGGCACCGCCCGACAAGAAGACGGTGGTCATCACGGGGGCCTCTTCTGGCCTGGGTCTGGCTGCAGCCAAGGAGCTGGCAGCAACGGGAGACTGGTATGTCATCATGGCCTGCCGGGATTTCCAAAAGGCAGAGAAGGCGGCGAAGGAAGCAGGCATGTTCGAAGACTCCTACGAGGTGCTTCACTGCGACCTGGCTTCCAACCGCAGTGTTCGCCACTTTGTGGATGCATTCCACGCTTTAGGCAGGCCTTTGGATGCGTTGGTGTGCAATGCGGCCGTGTACTTCCCCAACGCGCACAAGCCCGGCATCTTCCTCCCAGGCCTCTTCGCGGGAGAGGGCCCTCGCTATTCCGCCGATGGCCACGAGCTCAGTTTCGCGGCAAACTACTTGGGCCATTTCCTGCTCTGCAAGCTCCTCCTGGAGGACCCGCCTGTCTTCGTCCGACATGACCCACGTTGACAGCCGGTCAGCAGTCACGTTCGCTGGTGTTTCTAGGTGGCATCGCGCGCCGCTCGCCTCAGCTGATCGTCTCAAAACCTTGGTTCCTACATCTGTATCCGAAGTGCATCCTGCCAAAATCTACGTCATAGCATATCATGTCATGTCATGTCAGACCATACCACGCCTTACCAATCCGTGCCAATCCATGCCGTACCATACAGTACATTACAAGTAATCTTTACCATTTGCCATTTGCATGACCGGAAGCATAACACCCCTGTCATGTCATGTCAGATCATGCCGTGTCATAGCATGTCATATCATATCACCTCATACTTGTATGATGTCATATGACAGCATCTCAGATGACAACAGAAAGCCTTCCAGGACCTGAAGCGCAGCACGGTGAAGCCTGCACGTTGCATCATCCTTGGGACGGTCACGGCCACCGTGAACGGTGCGGAGTTGGGAGGCATGATTCCCCCAATTGCACACGTGGGGAACTTCGAGGGTCTGGAAAAGGGTATGAAGGCGCCCGTGTCCATGCTTGATGCCCACGAGTTCAATGGTGCGAAGGCGTACAAGGACAGCAAGGTCTGTGATGTGATGCTTATGAAGGAGTTGCACCGCCGATATCACAACGAAACGGGCATTGTCTTCACCTCTCTCTATCCGGGATGCATCGCAGAGACCGGCCTCTTCCGTGAGCACTACCCGCTCTTCCAGCACCTCTTCCCTGCCTTCCACAAATCCGTCACCAAGGCCTATGTCAGCCAAGAGGAGGCAGGCAAGCGCCTTGCAGCATGTGCGACCTGGCTGCATGAAGCCGCTTGCCAGTAGTCGGATGAATCCAGGGATTCCGACGGGCCCCTTTGTTTTCCATCTCAGGTGGCAGACGACAGGTATGCCACTTCCGGCTCCTACTACAGCTGGGGAGGCGAGGCAGGAACGGGAGGAAGCGGAGGCAAGGATGCGGTGGAGAACAAGGACAAGGAACTGGATTGGTTCATGAACTACGGCAGCTTCCGCACGCTCTCCATCGATGAGATCGGTGGAGAGGCTGCTGACGATGCACGCTGCCGCAAGTTGTGGGATCTTAGTGAAAGGCTCGTGCAGGCCAGCTAGGAGAAGCAGCTTGCAAAGTGAGTGTGTCGATGCTGCCACAAGTGACTCTTAAGCATCTCACCTTTTTAACCCTGAATTCAGTGCCCCGGTTTCCGAGCTCCGGCTTGTTTCAAGAACCCATTTGAAGATCGGCCGCCCACCAGGCGGCCGACCTGTTTGGTGCTTTCGGCTTTTTTAGCCGGGCACCAATGTTTCCAGTGTTTTTGAAGATCGCTCCCCTGCGGCCTCCAGTCATCTGCAACTGCTAGACTCGGCTAGACTTGCAAGCACAACCAAAGCAGGTTTCCGGGTTTTGGACCGGATTTCCAGATTTCCAGATGCAGATGCTTGCACCTTTCAGCAGCGCATGTAGGCATTGCCTGCATGGTGCCGGCTGGTTTTGCGACAGCTTTCGATTCGTAGTAGACTCGACCGATGCTCGCGATGAGCAGTGGCAGTTAGCCAGAAAGGTTGTCTTTGCTTGCGTGAAACCGATAACATTGCCCTGTAGATGCAAGGTGTTATGCTGGACTCCTGCGTCCGCCCTTTATTGGAGCCCTATTCTACCTCTTCAGGCCTCTGTATTATACCCAATCTTAAACTATTTTGAGCCTGCCTAGCGCCCTGGCGCAGGCGGAGGAGCTGGCCGAGCTGGGATTGGGCCACGCCGTTGGCAGCCTAAGGGATGTCAGCCAATGGCAAGAAGGCGCAAGCAAGGAGGTTTAGGGAGTGACCATGGCGGATTTTCCCTGTGATGAAGTATAGTTGGGAGGGTCGTACTTCAAGGGATAAAAGCTTCTGAGGCTTCTGGTTATTGCTCTACATCGGTGCTGTATCTCCGTCAACTTGTCCTTTTTACGTGGATCGAGTGTGCGAAGTCATACAGCCAGAGGAACAACACTGAGAAAATGTCCTGTGTCCGTCTATGCCTCTATCTATCTAGCCTACATCTATCTATCTCTCTGTCTGTTCATCTGTCTATCTGCCTCTATCTGCTTACCTATCTGTCTACCTATCTAATCTATCAGTCTCTTTACCTCTATCGTTCTTTCTGTATGTGTATGTAGGTATACTTCTATACACACACATGCATGTTCCCCTCTCTCTCTCTCTCTGCATCTGCTGCTTTCATGCGTCATCGCTCTAGAACTTACTCCCAAAATTGTAATCGTCTTTTTGATCGCATTACAGCATCTCATGCACGTATATCGTGATGGTAGTACGCTACTGACCAAGCCATGTTACAGTTGCTTGTTTTCAGCTTTCTTAGAGGGTCTTCACGCGTATTTTATAGATTTTGGAGGCTCAGGTCCCTGAGACCACTAGCAGTTCAATGATGCCCGACGGTAGCTAGACGTCGGGGTTCTGGCAGTACACCGTGTGTCAGGCGTCCACTTGGCCAAGGAGCCAGGGTTCGTTGAATTGGCAGGCTTCTCAGCCCCACTGATTCTTGCAGCTATTCCCAGTCGTGGTCTTCATGCTTCAGACATGCGACCTCCGACCGATACAAGTTGAGCTTCATCTGTCCAGCATAGAGCTTTGAATCACAGCTGCTGCTGCCTACTACTACAAAAACCTACTGTTGTTAATACCGCGGTTGCAACTGCTGCTGCTACTACTGCCTGCGATTATCTCCACTATCAGCACTATCAGTCAATATCGCCACGGTCACCACCAGCACGACCACTGCAGCAAGAAGAGCATCAATTTCTACTACCACTACTAGCACTACTACTACGACTACTACCACTACTACAACACCACTACTACTACTACTACTACTGCTACTGCTACTGCTACTGCTACTGCTACTGCTACTGCTACTGCTACTGCTACTGCTACTGCTACTGCTACTGCTACTGCTACTGCTACTGCTACTGCTACTGCTACTGCTACTGCTACTGCTACTACTACTACTCCTCCTCCTGCTGCTGCTGCTACTACTGCTACTGCTACTGCTACCGCTACTTCTTCCACCAGGCCTCCTGCTCGCATGTTTCTGGCTCTCGCGCCATGTGGGTAGTTGTCAAAATTATGGCCCTTTTTTGGGTACCCTAAATATTAGGTGCCGCAATATATTAGGGACCCAAAAAGCGACCCTAATTTTGACAACCACTCATGTGCCCGTCAAGTTCCCAGGGTCAGAGCCACACGACTGCGAGGAGCTGCGGTCCTTGCGGGCAGAGCTGAACAATGACGAGAAGACTACGGCCCGTCGTTTAGGGATTTCAGGTTTGGGGTTCAGGGTTTAGGGGTCCGGGTCGAGAAAGAGGACATACGCGATTCCTACAACCACTGTCCCTGCTGCAAAGGCTCACGGTGTAAAGTCAAACCCAGAGCAGTTCATGTTTAAACCCTAAACCCTAAACTCCTAACCCTAAACCAGGTGCTGTCCATGGCAATCGCAGGGTCGCTGGGCACGGGCTCGCGATCCGTGCATTGAGTCGCGCAAGTGGGTCTCTGCAAAGGCGAAGGTGGCGACCTTTTGAGCTTATAGTATAGCATTTACGAAAGCGTAGTATAGTACATCATTCTCTAGTATAGTATAGTATACCATAGTACAGTATAGTAAAGTATACTGTGGTATAGTATTGCTCTTCAAGAGGCCGCGGCTTCGGCTGGCCCAGCCCAGCTGCTTAATGTACGGCTCTCGCACCGTAGGACAGCAGACACCCGAACGAAACCAGCGGACGAGAAAGAAAGCGTCGGTATGACTGGATGTGGCATTGGTGAAGCACTCGCTTCCCACGCACGTGCTTCGTTGAAGCTTGAGCCACTTCCGGTTGAACGAAAGACCGAAACCCTTCGACCCACCTGTGTAGTTCTGGAGAACTTCATGCCGGAAAGACTGCTGCCAAATTTGGTGTAGCAAGCTAAGCCAGACACAGCGTGTTACTGGTAGTTCGTCCTCGTAGCTCGACGTTTTAAGAGTTTCAACTGCCGGGCAGTTCTCGTGCAATGCTGCTCCGCCTAGCTCCTAATGCCTAGATCAGCACCCTGCTCGCACACAACCTGGAAAGAAAGGATAAGGGCTTGAGCGGCTTGTAGGTTTCAACTCTTTAGGTCTAGGGAGAGTTGAGCTCCAGCTGCCAAAGCCTCCTCAATCTGAGCCCAAAAGCGATGCAGGCCTTGGACGGCCTTGTCCAGCTCGGCGCGAGCAAGCAGGCACGGCAGCAAGACTGCTACAGTGTTATGAGATCGGTTATTTCTTGCGTTACTCGTGACGGTCAGGCACTAGCCGGAAACTACGGCAAGCGAAACCGCGAGAGTCTGAAGAGAGCAGAGACTTCTTTTTGAGTTGGCAGCAGGCAGCGGTTAGCCTGCGATCGGAAATCCAGTTTGTGCTTTGCCGGACCCTTATAGTGTCAGAGGCTTTGAGGATTGGTGAGGACTGCCAGCAGGGAACTATCATGATTCGGCTTCGTGTCAGAGGTAGAAAGGTTTCTTGTCTATGCCGAGAGCGTCGGCTGTTCAGGTCTTCGCTGCATCTCGGCGTGGATACGATTCGCCCGGACCTCACCGGCTTTCAGAGTCGATGCTCGTGGGCGTGTCTCGGGTCTGCCACATGGGAACGTCGCAGGCGAACGACGAACGTGCCGCGCGACGCGAGGTGTTCCTGCCATTGCCGACTCTGAGTAACGGATCCTCGAGATGCCCCTGCAGCATTGCCGGGGCAGGTAGGGAGAGTGGATGACTCGGATGGCCCTGCCAGGCGCGAGTCTCGGCTTCGCGAAGCTTCCAGGAGGTGAAGCTGCGACAAACAGCCGGAAGCTTGAGTTTTGCCGAAGGATGCATGCACGGTGATAGTCTGTTCATGCGCGAACACACCAGAACCTGCTGCTGCTGCTGGTGGTCAGCTCCGTATGAAAGGGTCCCACTCGCATCTCTGATCTTTCAAGCAATGCTTGCGTTAGGACTCGTCGATTCGGCTGAGAGCTCATCTCCCACTAAAGGCCCCCGATCTAGCTAAGCATGCTGCCAACACTCCTAAAGAAGCGGCTTATGAGTACATTTGGGTTCTCCTGTCGGTGAAAGCACCCAATGCTTTCGACATAGCTTATCAATTCCTCTGCATTCCTATCGCCTCAAGGCTCACAGCCTGGGAAGCAGAATCGAGAAAGTGGGCAGCAAGCGCTTGCCATGTGGCGGCAGTTGAGGGATGTTGAGGGTTCGGGGACTTCACTTCCACCGTGATCCTTTTTTCTGCTACGCTGTCGCCATAAGATAGCAGGCAATGTGATGGTGCGACGGCACTTAGATGTATGTAGCAGTGCGGTATTTCGTTCACCTCGTCTTGTTTGATTCCAGCAGTCTTGCTTTAGTAACTTTAGTTCAGGATTCCAGTTCTATTCTAGTGACCAGGACCCAGCCTTAGGACTTTGCCATCGAACGAACCGGGCTCTTGGCTGCTAGGGCTACCGTTTGCAGAGATTCGGGTTTAGAGTTTAGGGGTGAGTTCGGGCGTTCAGGGTTCAAGCTGCAAGGCCAAGGCGTCGAATGCGAACCACCGGGGGGCTTGTCTGGTTCGTGGCAGCTGAGATGGATACCCTCAGAGTTCATTGCGTGTTGAGCAATTGTCTAGACGCGCGGATCAGCATGATTTTGATAGCTTAGGCCATGAAGCCTACTGTACGGTCTACGGTACAGTTTTGTGCGTGTTTGCCTATATGTATCTTCTTCTTCGGAAGAGCGGGCCTTCTTGGGTCTACTCTTTGTCTGAGTTTAGGGTTTGAAACCACATCCCAGATCTGAAAACCTAACCCCGAAATCCTGAAGCCTTACCTTAGCCTGCAGGGGAGTACTTCCCCCCCACCCCCTGTGAACCTCCATTCCCCAAAGCAAGGCTGCAGGAGTCATTCTTTCAGTCCGGGCACCCAGAAGCCGACCCTGAAAGTGCAACCCTGCTTTCCGAGGCAAGCATGATATGGCATACCTTAGAAGCTGCCCCCACTCTGTAATGGTGACTATAAGGATTATATTAGGGCCCCATTATATTCCTATTATACCACTATTATAGGTTGGGGGCCCCTTCTAAGGCATACCATATATATGCACACGGATTTTTCTGTACGACGCATGGTATGAGACCGAGTATGTAATTCAGAACCAGCTTCGTCGGCTTTCGGTGACCTGTTCAGCACGCATAGGTCAAAAGGGCTCTTGTGAGAGGCGCCATCCCGCAGATCAAGTTCTGCTGGGGTGTAAAAGATTTAGGGTTCAAGGCATTACAGCATCTCGCCTCTAGGGGTTTCGAGTTCAAGGGAAAGGTATCTCCAAATTGACACATTCTGACTGCCCGAGTACTTTCAGCATGCAGTTGCAGGCTGCAGATCGCCACATCGCTGTTCGGTTGTTGTCTGATTTTGCTAGCCTGTCACTAAGATGCACATGTACTCAATGTTATGTCATGACATTTCATGTTATGTAACTCAGTATGCATGCAGGCATGCATTCACGCACGTTTGTGCTGTTGGTGTACGCATGTATGCATGCATAATTGTACTCATGTATAAATGAATGAAAGCACGCACAGATGCGTATGTATACGCAGATGTGTGAATATCCAGAGCAGCACGCACTGCGAGCTCAATCTGTAATGCACGTAGCTGTCCGCCCCCAAACCACAATCCCAGAAGGAATGAAGAATGGCGAAGTCTGTCCCCAGCAGGATATATGCACAGAGCGTATTTATGGCGAAGGATGGTCCGGCCTAACGTTGGCGCAGCCAACCCTCAATCCTGACCGCTCGATACCTGAGGCAAGCCTCACAACTAGAACGCAGGATCGTGAAACAGGCAGGCATATCGTTAGTCGCCTTTCGTGCTATGCACCAAGTCGCCAAGCCGTGACTCCCCCGAGAAACAAAGACAACTACTAGTACCTGAAACCCCAGCACCGTGAGCTCTAAATACGTTTGGTGCGAGGTGGATGCAGCAAGCTCAGGAAGAGCGCTCTTCCAGGAGGAGCGGCCGACGACTAGCTGGAGGTGATGTATTCTGGAACGGGGTGTGCAAGTGCTCATACTAGATCCTTTCAGAGAGTGCTGTGCGCATACACCACGCATTCGGGGTGGCTGCGGTTCATACACTTCTCTTCTGAAGTGCTGTTTTCCTCGGGGTGCAGTTTCGCTGCAGGAGCATCGCATGCTGGTCGCATGTTAGTGCTCTGGAGACGCATCACAGATAGCGGCTGTTGCCGAAAGTTCCATCTCCACGTGCAAAGGTGTACATGGCGTCACAGGCATGCCCTTGAACCATAACCTCAAGCCCTCTGTGCATCCCAAGCGCGGCAACCCGCACCGGTAAAGGTTGCCGTGTGCTGGCCGAGGAGGAATCAGATGCTCGCGGCGTCCGCAGAGCAAGTTTGGCTGTTGCGTCGGGCGCTCAGGAGGACCAGACCAGAGTTCAGGTTGCGAGGAAGGGTGCACGGGCGGACGCAGGTCAGAAAAGATTTCCGATCGCTGCGCAGATGCCACCGTACTATCACGAAGAGGGTCAGAATCATGTGATCATTTCAACCGTTGGCCGCTGGCCTTGTTGTGAGTATTTGACACCACTGATATCACCATCGGTACCAAGATGAGCATCAGATTCATCGTCGTCGAATCATCCTCGCTATGATCGCCAGTAGCATCGCCGCCATCATCACCGTCATGAGCATTATCACCATGATCATGATAAGATCTTCGTCACCATCCTCATCATCGTCATCGTCAGCATCTATGCTCGCAATCATCATCATCATCATCACAAGGTATCAATCCTAGCTAACCGGAAACTGCATCAAAGACGCGGCCCAGTCGAGGCTCGGATGCCAAGAAGCGATCCATGCAGCAGGCGCGGCAACTCCTTGTGGGCTTTCTTCTTGAAGTGAAGTCGCGAAGCACGGGCGACATCTGTGGCTCCGGGACTCCCTGGTAGGGCCTGGTAGGATTTTTTTTTTCGAGGCTGAGCGATGGCAGAGAGACAACGACAGCATCCTGCTGCACCTCGTGCTGGGACGTGTTGGGCCTGGCATTGTGCATACAGTGTGCCGACGACGACACACTGCCTGTTGGTGGTGCTGCGACCACTCCCAGTACGGCGACGACCCCTACTCGAACTCCTCTCGCTCTGCTGTTGCTATGATTGTCATTTTGGATGTTCGCAGTTACAATCGTTCTGGTTATCCTTGTCATGCCTAGACCGATGATGACCACATCGATGCCTGAGATGGTGATGATGAGGGCAGAAGGGACAGTCATGGTGCCATTGGCGGTGATATTGGCGGTGGTCATCATGATGATGATAGAGATGATGATGATGATGGTGATGATGGTGATGACGATGATGATGATGATGGCAGTGATGCTCTTGAGAGTGGTGGTGATGATGCCGATGGCCATGGCGATGTTCAGGATGGTGGTGATGAGGTTGGCGGCGATAGCCATCGCGATGATGAAGAATTCACTGGTGGTGTTGGTGGTGATGAGGCTGACAGTGGTGCTAGTTGGTCTGTTTTTGGGGGCGAGGGGCTGCTTGTCATGAGGCTGGAACGCATCTGTCGCACAAAGTTTGCGGGAGATGCAACAAGGACTCAAGAGCCTCAGCTGCATGTGCTGGAGATTTTTGACGGCGATCTTCCTGCCACAGTACAACAAAGTATTGAGGCCCCAAAGATGCAAGGGGTGCAAAACTCTGCACATTCTCGCAACGGGGTGTGCTACACTTAGTGTTCCGACTCTGAAATCGGATGCCCCGTGCGTGTCTACCAAGGAAAATTGAGGACGGGCTCTTCCGTGCCGAACCTTGTCCTGTGTGTGTGTGTGTGTGTGTGTCTGTTTGTTTGTGTGTGTGTGTGTGTGTTTGCGAACGCTTTTTGGCCTTGTTGATCCGTTTATGGGCGGGGTCATTGCTTGTTGATTTTAGAATTCAAGTCTTGGGCGTCATGCATTCTTTCAGATGGCTCCTTGCACGAGATTTTCCTGCCTTGTCCCGCAGCTGTTAACCTGCAGATTTGCGCAAGCTGCAGATGGCCAAAATGACGGGCACAATCGATTGGATATTGCGCTGGAGCATACGCCCCTACTGCGGATCGCTAAGTGGGTGGCAAATCTGAGGGAAAATGTTGTTCACTGCATGCCTTCATGCCATCAACTCTAAGCAAGGGGTCCAGACTCTACTCAGACCAGAACGGCTCCACGCGAGGAGAAACAACCACAACCCTGGCTCTGGAGGCTAAATCCTGAGCTGCCAACTCGCAGAACCACAAACTCTGAACCAATCACGGCCTGCACACCTGCTTCGCCCGAAACCCCCCAAAACAGAACCAGCGAGAAATCTAGCGATCAAAGTCGCTTCAACACTTGACTTCAAGCGCAACCGCCCGTCTTGGGGGACCCAGGGCAGCCTATGATTGCCATGGCCCGGGCGAGGCTGCGCGGTTCTGCACTGGGGCTGGCCCAGTCTTCCGTATCTTTCAGAGCCTTGGGCGGATGAAGCCCCGAGACCTTGAAGCCGTCAGCTTTAGGATTTCGGGGTTCAGTTTAGGGTTTCGGGTTTAGGGTTTAGTGGTTTATAGGGTTTAGGCTTAGGGTTTAGGGTTTAGGGGTTAGGGGTTTATAGGGTTTAGGGTTCAGGGTTTAGTTTGGGTTTAGGGGCTTCGAGGGCTTACGAGACTTAGAGTGCTAGAGGGCTTCAGCGCTCGTAGGGCTTTCTATTTATAGATGAGGCCGTTTCTCTGGTTCGTGCTAGAGGTTCCTCAGAAACTTGTGGAAAACATTGGGGTTTAGTTCGCGGGTTGCAGAGGGCAGTCAGGACTTTAACCCCTCCAGCAACCCTATAGTAACCTTATCAACCCCGGGTTACATTGCAAGGGAAACCAAGCCAAGGATCGCATGGCCTCTGGCGCTGGCGTTTCCATTTGGCCTGTGCAGGCCAGGCCGTGTCGAAGGAGCCGGAGCGGTTGTAGTCCGTCTTTAACAAGTCCAAGAAGTCACCTCTGACAGTTAAATACGGATGGCCCCAACTATCCCTACCGACCATTGCCTCAGCTCTAGAAACCAACAAAATGGGGATTTCCGAAAATGGGGGACCCCAAAATAGTACCCTTAATAGTAGGATCCGTATTACAAGGACCCCAATATGAGGTACCCCTAACTTTCGGAAACTCCCAAAATATAACTGAGGTCCTAGCTTATTGTCAAGGCAATCGCTCCCCGGGTTCAGGGTTTCGGGTTCGAAGTCCCTCTTTGGCAGTGTGCGTACTATAGCACGCCCAGAGCTATGCTATCATGAAATTATGGTTCCTTTTTGGGTCCTTAGTAGAATGCGGCACCTAATATTTAGGGTACACAGAAAGGGACCATCATTTTGACAACCACCTATGTGTACCCAAACCCTGGCGTGCCATCCAAGCTGCAGAGAACCGAGAAGTTTCTTACTGGCGAGTCTTGGAAGCAGGGTTTAGGGTCTTTTAATCTAAAACCTTCAACATTAAAGCCTAAGACCCGCATTGATGATGCATCCCACCCTGTGCGAGATCCATGTAAACGGCTACCGAAGTCGGAAGTGCCCATCCAGTGTTTACCATCTGTTCTTGAGCCGCGCGTTCGGGCAGTAGGATCATCCATCAGCCAAAGCAATACATACACCCTATGCCATATGGGAGTTTCCGAAAATTAGGGGTACCTTTCTGGGGGGTCCTCATAATAAGGATCCTACTACTTAGGGTACTATATTAGGCTCCCCTCTTTTCGGAAACTCCCATATGCCCGAAACCCAGCAAGACTCAAAGGCTTCTGCTCCTTCTTGGCACCCCTGCGCTCCTGCTACGGCGCAAGAAGGCACCGCAAAGGTCGTCTTCATTTAGTTCAATCCTAAGTCCTGCGCAGTTGGGTTGGAGGGCTGAGGGTTCTCATACTTCAGCGACAAGGTATCTTGCAGCCTGCGGTACAAGCAGTGACATGTGTTTCACGCTCAGCCTTCACTGCATCGTTGCGCTCGCTGCGCTTTTCTTGCCATTCCGAGAGAGTAAGCGGATCACCAACTGCGGCTTGGTATCCAATCCAGGCATTGCACCCTGAGCTGTAGTGTCAGTCAGTTTGCCCGGCCCACAGCTAGTGTGATGAATCTGCAGGAACTTCGTCACTGCAGCTCCGTTTCAGGCACGAGCCCGAAATCCAGGTTCCTCGGCATGGGGAAAATCTCCGGAACGAGATGAGCATCTTAAAATTGAGGAGTAGCTCTTGCAACGAAATTATGCTAACTGGTGGTTTTTGGTGCTTAATTTCCTCTCCGCCTCCAGGTTCTGCACCTACCGCACGGCGCATAGTCAACGAAGCAGGCTTCGAGGCTGCGGGACGTTGCGGGAAACCCTCAAAGCAGTCAGTCAGTTCGAGCCCTTCGACCGTGATGGAGAGGTCTTTTGCAATGCCGGTAGGATCACAAGTCTGCCTCAAGGCCCCCCAGATTGTAAGTCAGACTTTGGCACTGATCCTGATGCCCCCGAAACCACTCGGCAGAATTTCAGACAATGTAGTCCGACACCCCCAAATTCCCAGTGTAAGGCTGCAGGAGACTAGAGTGTCCGTCGGTGGCCCAACATGTATGTGGCAACACCCTAAGACAAGGAGAGAGTTCATGACGGACGGTTGCAAACCCGGTCGAACATGATGCGCCAAAAGCCTTTAAATCATTACAATCAAGCAGCTGTTCTTGGCTTCGACTATTCCGAAGAACGGCCATCCCAACCCTTTAGTCGAGGTCGCACCTGTCCCAAGCCTCGCACGCCCAAACACGCGACACCTCAACCCAACCCTTGTTCATCTTTTAAACCACTTCCTGTTGCCATAATGCTGCAAAAGCCGTTTATATCACTGCTTCCGGTGGAAGTAGTGGTTTCCTAGTACTAAGTTACAGTTTGCCGTCAGTATTGGGATTATCGTTGTTCTTTGCTCTTGTTTTTATCAATACGAACGTAATATCATCATTTCCGTTGCTATCAGCATTAGCACCCTGCTCCTCCGCATCATCCCCATCATCATCTTTTGCGTTTTATTCACATTCTCTAAAGCTTCGACCCGAGACAGGTGGGCGTCATGATGTCGCCCGAGGAAGCAGATCGCCTTGGGCTGAAGCCCTTCGGCGATGGCGGCGCAGAGAACGAGACATCTCCGCGGCTTGGAGCCACGGGTCCCTTCTGAAGTCTTGGGAGGTTGCTTCTGGGTTTCTATTTCGCAGCTGGGGGCAGGGCTTTTCGGGCGCATCATCGCGAGTGAGAGCCCGCATTATGACTAGAAGTCCTCAGCATTAATCCTGCATAGCCCTTGGCCGATATGACCAATGCCGAGGCGACGGCCAAAATTCTACACCCATGGCCCGTGCCGTTCTCCGGCCGCTGCCCAGTTTGTAGTGCTTCGCGGCAGCAGGTCCAGTGTTCAGGGTCATTCATTTTTAGGGCCGCATTTCTTGTGGACGACGTTCAGCCACTTGTGGAGCGCTGTGCCCGGCACAACGCACTGACTCAATCCCAAGCTGAGGGTTTGGGGATGTTTGGGGCTGGCTAGACCTTGCCTTTCGCTATCTTTGTTTGATCGGTGCTCCCCTGCTTCAGGTCGTGCGCGGGCTTCGATGACGCGGATGAGGCCGAGCAGCGGCGAATCGCCGCAGAGGCGACAGAGAAGATGAAGACCAATGGCTTCGCAACCCGGTTGATACATGTTCTTCTAAGTTATATGATGATGAAGCCCTTAGTATGCCGCAAGATTGCAAGAAGGTTTGAGCCAACATTGCTCTTGATTTGCATGCTTTTCTTACCCTACGTGTGTTTATCTCCAGTCCTCCAGACACGTTTCCAAACTGTCTCATGCTGCAATCATGTAAATTATTGCTTCGTGAACATTAAAATTTACTGACGCGTTGGAAAACAAGTTCTGGCATTGAGCTTCCACGATGTCATATTGTGTTCCGTGTTTTTCGTTGTGTACACATACTCATTGAGTTGTCAAACCTTGTTCTTCATTCCGGCAGCATTCGCCAAAGCTCATCTTGTCATATCGTTCTACTTGAGTGTTTGTGTCCATGTCCTCAATTTGTTTTTTTGGAGGGGGGGGTTGTGCATCTTGTCTCATTCCTTTCGGAACCACGGGGTGCTGGACACATCCCCAACAGCAAGACAGACCCAACAACAGCCACACTTAGGTTTGGGGTTTTGGGCCTCCCAGTTTTCCACACACCGTCACATCCGAGGTTGTCCTTGAGAGCCTCTTCCCGCAGGAGTGGGTGGCCAAGCTGGAGGCGGAGGCCGCTTCGCCGGGGCCCTGGAGGGGAGGAAACAGCTCGATCTTTTCTGGCCGAACATGATTTGGGTTCTCGCTAGGGGATTTAGATGAAGCTACCATAATAGGAAAGCCATAATTATTTACTATAGATCCCTTTCATGGTAACTTGAATGAAATCCTCTAGCGAGAACCCAGTCATTGCAAGAGCAAAGGCTTTTGCGATGAACCATGACCGCGCTGCACGCCGAGGTTTCTGGACCTGCCTCAGCCCGGCCTGATTCCGCAACCATTGCGGGCTGGGCGGACGGATCCATGGTGCAGAAGTTTGAGGGGCACTTTCAGATATCCAGCAACTATATTGGATTGGGGGCACTGCTCTACTTTTCCCGGATCATGACCTGTTTGTTTCAGCGAACAGGAGTGGACACTCTGTATGCGTGTGCACACTGAGCTGCCTGCATCCTGACCTGAAACCGGGTGCCGAGATGCAAGAATCCAAAACAGGCAGGTGGCCGGCAATTTCCATCTGTACACCAGAATGTTGAAATGTGGGTTGGGACCAGCATGAGCTTGCAACTCACACTTTTGAACCAGTCGCCAGGCGGTCTTGGGCTTGGCTTCGGGGATTACGCTTGGGTGTGGGTCCCCCTGAACCCTAAACCCCCCTGAACTCTGAACCCTAAACCACACCCCTAAACATACACCCTTTAACTCCTCAACTAAACATCTTCTAAACACCCGATCCCGTTAACCCTATGTCCAAAGCCTAAGACCAAGGAAGGTCATCTCTCGTTCACGGCGCCCTGGGCCAGCGACTGGCTTCTGCAGCTCGGGTGGAACCCCTATAGAAAGGACCCCCTCCATCGCTGCATGGGGCTGTGCGTCTCGTGCAGACCACTGCCTCGAAATCCTGGTCCGATTGGCATACAACGACAAAAGCGACATGCCTTACAGATGGACAGGCAGAACTGAAGGACAGAAGAAAGAAAGGCACGAGCCGTGAACGAGTTGACGAACTGGAAAACGATCAAGCTCACGAACAAACTGACTGTCTCACTGGCTGGCTGGCTGCCTGGCTGACTGGGGAGCCTACCTGCCTACCCGATCTACCGACAAGCTAGCTGAAAGCCTAACTCCCTGACCGACTAGCTGACTGGCTAAGTGCTAACTGACTGACTGACTGACTGACTGACTGACTCGCTAGCTGGCTAGCTACTTAAGCAACCAACTAGCTAGCCACTCAACCGGCCAGCCAGACAGACAGCCAGCCCACCAACCGAGCAAACGAAGGAACACAGTAACTAGCCGTTTACTTGACTACTCAGAACCCTTTGTCAATGAGGAAGTAAACGGTGCTTGAAAATCTAAATTGCTATCCCATGTGTAAGTCTGCATTTATGATATTCAGTTAAAAAAATATATGTACAGATCTGTGTATGTAGATATGTATGTATGTATGTACGTATGTATGTACGTGTGTATGTAGGCAGCTAGGCATGTAAGTATGCCGCTGTGCATGCATGTATGCATGCATGTCTGTATCCATGCCCATGCACCGTATGCATGTATGTACGTGCAGTACGTGTGATTGCTTGTTAGGTTGTTAGTATGCCTGTGTGTATGTATGCCTACTACTACTTTCCGCATGTCGGTCTGCATGTCTGCCTGTCTGTCTGTCGGTATGTATGGACGCATGGATGGATGTGTGTATGTAATTATGCATCTAAGTGCATGTGTGTGTGTGTGTATGTGTTTATGTGTGTATTTGTATATGCACACCTAGATACACACAAACACGTATACGTTCATGCAGACATTTTGCATACGTGTATGTATGTAATGTACGTGGGGTGTATGTTCGTACATGCACCCACGTGTGTGTTTTGTATTTACAGGCATGCAGTGTGTAGTGAGTGTATAGGTACACGCGTAGTAGAAGACAAAGACTTGCCTTGCAGGGATCTTGCCGCACACTCGACCCGAAAAGTGCAGCCTGTCAATTTGTACTTTGGCTGGTATGTAACACCACGCAAAATTCTATTTGCAAGAGCATGTGTGTCAAGTGAGGCGAGTATGCTGTTCGTACAGCTGATTAAAGAGCTTCTTCAGAAACTAATAGCATGACCATTGCCTAGGCCTTGTTCCCAAGCTTCTCGGAAAGATTCTCGGAGACCAAGGAGAAACGAGCTTGTCCTGGAGGTGATGAGAGCGCTGCTTGTAATGGGGTTTGGGTACCTCATAATCTCCTTTAGCTTATGGAGAGTTGGTTTCTCGTGAAAGCTGCTCCAGAGGTATAGATAGGCCCCATAGGCTCTCTTGCACTGAACATATTGGGGAAGAAATATTCTTTCCCCAATATGTTTAGTGCAGGTCGTCGCTGGGTACATGAATAACAACCTGGCAGCCGGCCGGACGCAGGACTGGCGCGGCCTTGAGAGTTGGTATGCACATCTACACAACATGCATGCACACATGCATACGTACATACATGCATGAATACATACATACGTGCATACATATATGTACATATACATACATACGCACACATACAGCCACACACACATGTGTGTGCATAATTTTCCTGATGTCTCTCCCTGTCTCTGCCTCCCTCGCCCCCCCGTCCTCCTTCTGTTTCTCCCTCCCTCCCGCCCTCCGTTGCTCGCTTCCTCCCCCCCGTCTTTATGAGTTTTTAGTGTACTTGCAATGAGCATATCTGGCAGCATATGCCGCTTGCGTGAGACATGCATAGTCAATTACATGCATACGTACCTGACATCCCCTAAACCCAAAACCCTAAACCCTAAACCAGAGAGGACGAGCAGCAGTGGGGCCTGGTTCAGTGGCTCACCTCCGGGGCCTCGCTGGACTGGTTTTCGAGCCTCGGACGTCACCACCCTGGTATCTACCTATGTACCTATCTGCCTGCCTACTTATCTATCTGTTTATATACCATACTTCAGTTAAATAATGGATCACAGATAACGGGCAATAGATATCAGTTATTGGGAAATAGATATAGGATAGAAGACAAGTTATAAAGCAAACTCGCATACAATACAATACAGTACAATGGAATACAATATAGGGCCATATAGCATACTATAACATAGTACAACATAGTACAGTACAATAGTATATGATGTCATGCATTGTAACACACTGTAATGCAATGTGGAAGTATATTAAACAAAACCCAACAGAGTATTTTATGACTTAGTGTAATAGTTAATGAAGAGTAGCATATGGTTCAGTATACGAAAACGCAGTAGACCATGATAAACAACTAGTAGCACCATGCAGGATAATGAAGCATAACATAACACAACATAATATCACCAAACTTATTGTAAGATAATGTAGTTGAATATATTGTGGTGTAGTAGCGTATAATATAGAGAAGATAGACAGTCTTCAGGCCGGCCTTGCTATCGCCGCTGAAGGCTAGGCTTTGAATTAAAGCCTTGTTGCTTTGCCGTTTCATTCGCCACGTCAACGGGCTTAGGGATTAGAAGTAGTGTCGAAGAGGAGCTATCGTGGTTGGCATTCTTGCTGTGAAGCTTCAGGCTTTGGGACCTCGGCGGAGTTGTTGCGGGTTCTGGAACTACGGGATTGCTGGTGACTTCTCACAAACTGCCAGCCCTGTCAAAGCCGAAGCCCTGCCCAAACCTACCCTCAGCGCTAAACCCCAACACACTCCAAGATTGGCCGAAGGAAAAGGCGTTCGAAAAACACACAAACGACACCCTGAACCCACTCACTTCAGCTCCCAAGCGGCCTCCAGGATGCCTGAGTGGGGCCCGAAGGCCGGTCACCTCTTGGAAGAGCCCCCACCGGGATGCAGCGACGTAGGCGCCGCCATGGAGGGTTGAGGGATGTTGAGGGTCTGGGATTTAAGGGTTTGGGGCTTAGCATTCAGGGTTTGTCCGAACCGGGAGGAACTTTGGGGATAGGTGAAGGCTCTAGGATGTGCGAGGGTGTGCAATTCAGCTCGGGGCATGCTCAGGGCTGTTTTAAAGGCCAAGTTCAATCACAACGGCCTGGCATTGACACAGGCGCTGAAAAGATCTTCTCGAGACCCAGATTGTCATTGCCGGTGATATTGCAGCAGATGGTCCGTCTGAGGTCATATTCAACAACTGCTGGATATTTGCCAGCCTAGAACTTTGGTGCAGGGTGGGCGTATGCATGCTCACGTTTTCTTTCCGTGACAGCTCGGACATGCGTCGGTTGAGCCCGAAAGCCACAGTGTTCTGGGTTCTTGTGAAGGGATCCACTTTCAGTTACCATAATGCAGAAACCATATTAAGTTACTGTAGATCCTTATTTTGGTAGCTTAGAGTAAATTCCTGAACTAGACCCCTGTGTTTGCAAGCATAGCTGCTTCTGAGCCGAAGCTAAGGCTTCCCGAGTTAACGTCTTTAGGGCTCAGGACAGAGGGTTTAGGCCGGAGGGTTGAGGACTGATGGCTCAGGATCCGAGGTTTCGAGGTTCAGGGTTTAGACTTGGGAGTTTTGGGTTTAGGTTGGGGGTACCAGTCCCGACCCGAACCACACACCGAACAGGGACCCACGTGGAGACGGGGCCCTTCTTCGGGCGGATCTCGCTCATCCGTACACCTCCAGGTTCCCTGGGGTTGACCAGCAGATCTGTTTATTTCTATCATGGTGGTGGTCAAAATGATGATACCTAGCATTGGTAAGGATCACTGCTGCCTTTAGCTCTTTCATGTATAGTTGTTCGGATTGCCTCGTCTCCACTGTGATGATGTCGGTTCTGATGCTGGCAGTGGGGGTGTTCATGGTGATGGTGACGATGCATATGTTGATGCTGCAGGTGATGATTTTATTCATGATGATGGTGAGGCTTGTTGAAGACGAGGATGATTGGGATAGTGATGATGGTGATGATCGGAACCCCATCATACTGAATCATCTGCGACTTGCTTCTGTGCGGCCCCAAGGTTCGAGAACCGTTTGCTCGGCTTGTCCATATCAGTATGGGTTCATCTGATGAAGGGCTCTGCCAGGGAGTTGGGGATCAGGGGATGCCAAGAAGTGGCGCAGTGGAAACAGAATACGCCTCCCGCTCTCTACGCCGAAGCCAAGCCCGAAGGCTCTGAGCCTCAGAAGCACCACCGGGACATCAACTTCCCGGGCCCTGCTGCGCAGGTGACCGCGCAGGTCGCTTTCCCGTCTGGACATGATAAGAGTATGAACATGAGTGAAGTATAGATAGAAGCATATAAGTACATAAAGACATAGTTAAACAAACATACGCATATACATACACATATGCATCTGCACCTTACAGAGACAATACACGCACATTATATGCACACATTAATACACACATTATGTACACAGAATAAACGGGTGATGTACACATCGGTATACACAGCATATAGACACACTGTATGCACACTGTATACACATAAACACACTGTATGCCTACATGTACATAAACACACATATACAGCTAACTATACATACATGTATCTACCTGTGTATGTATATGAGCATATATACGTGCACACATATCTACATATGCTCGTGCATACATTCATACATACATACCTACCTACCTACGTACGTGTATATATATATATATATGAGTGATTGTTCAACTGCCAAGAGATGTTTCGTCGTCGTGGTGATTGCACGGATGCGTGGGTGTTTGGACAAGCTCAGCAACGGAGAGCATCGCGCTGAGGCAGCATGTCGCCACGCCTACGTGCAACAACTACCCTGCACAGGGGGCTTGTTGTGGCTCGTTTTGCCACTCCTCATTGCAACAAGCACAGGGTGGTGGGGACAGCATGGCAGAGCTGAGGGAGCAGAAGGCAGAAGGAGATGTTTTCCGATCTCTTGTTTGCACGCGCCGGTGTCTGTGTGTGCACGTACCTCAACAGCTGTGGCTGCTGCCTCAGGTTGCCCTGACGCAGCTGCATGCAAACAATGGGCCGTCGGGGCCTCGCCATCCCCACTCTGCAGCTTTCTGGTAAACCCAGGTGAATCCGAGTGTACATTCCGACATAGTTTCTCCAGTTTCCTCACGGCGCTCATGTAGATCGTTCGAAAGAAGCGTTGAGAAAAAGAGACTCTCTCTGAGGCTGGCCTACGTCCCCGGCTCCCATCGGATGTTGACCCCCGGCTTTGAAGTGGTCGCAGCACCGCCCCTTGGGTCCGTGCCGTGGCTTCAGGGCGTTTAAGGGTTTAGGGAGTTTAGGGTTCGGAGTTTAGTGTTTGGGGTTCTGAAATGGCTTCAGGGACCTTGGACTTAGGGTCCTTTTTAGGGGTTCCAGGTTTAGGACTTCGGGTTTGGGGGTTGACGAGGTTAACGTCTTAGTTTAGGGCTGGCTTCGGGTATATCAGGGGTTTAGGGTCTAGGGCTTAAGTGTTTAGGGTTTAATTAGGGTTTGGGGTTTAGGGTCTGGGGCTTAAGTGTTTAGGGTTTAGGGTCTGGGGCTTAGGTGTTTAGGGTTTAGGGTTCGGGGTTTAGGGTCTGGGGCTTAAGTGTTTAGGGTTTAGGGTCTGGGGCTTAGGTGTTTAGGGTTTAGGGTTTAGGGTCTGGGGCTTAAGTGTTTAGGGCTTTTTGTGCTGGTGCTTGGGGACGGCTTAGGATGATGCCCAGAAGCCCAAAGAACCACCTAGCAGGTTTAGGTTTAGGGTTTAGGCTTTAGGTTTAGGGTTTAGGGTTTAGGGTTTTGGGCTTATCTTGCCTGGCGAGGTCGTGCTGTACGATTCCTTCTGCGAGCATCGTGGCATCGAGCATCATGGCAACAAAGATCGGCCACTTGACAGGCAACTGCGGGGACACCTTTGAGATGTTGAGCTTCCTAAAAATTCCGAGTTCTGTGAGCTCCTACAGAGACTTCTTTACCCGAGGTATGCCATGTACTACGAGTTCGAGACTCGTGGGGTCTTCAGCGGCTATACCGCTGCGCACTTCGGCCCTGAGTCCGAGGCGCACATGCGCGTGGCGACCCCAGCACTGCAGCTCTCAGCGAGCTGAGGCATGCTCCGGTAATATAGGCGCCTTAATAATTACCTAGACTATTTTGCGGGTTCCGTCTTATAACTATAGTATACTATACCCCGAAACCCAGCAGTCACTCTGCTTTTCTTTGCTCGCCCTGACGTTCAGTCCGCTTCACCCCGAAACCCAGTTCTAATTATTAAGGCGCCTATATTACATCGAATCTCCGATAGCTTTTTAGGGCATGTGGCCGTCTATCCGAGGCCTTCCGGGACTTCGTAGACCCAGCACTTCGTGGCTGGGTGCAGCGTGTTGGCTCCTAGCGGTTGCCGCATTGACCGTAGCAAGTAGTAGCTCATCATCGACGTGGTTTGCTACCTGTGATCACCTTAGAAGAATTGTTCTTTCAGATTCTCCGTATGTTCATGCGCAGAGCATGAGTAGCAAACCCAGTCGCTATCTGTTCCGCTGGCTGGCCAACGGCCAACTGGCCACAAGTTTCTTTAGTGTGTGGGCAGCCGTAGACAGAGTTCGATGTGTCGGACCTCGTCACTTCTGCGAGATGTCTTGCATCCGCTTTCGTGCCTGCTCAATCTGCGCCTGCGCGTGTCTGCTCTTGCGGATGAAAACTGCGACCACATGATGCACCGATAAGTCTTCGTGAGCAGACTATAGTACCGTAACAGCAATCGCATGGTGACTGGAGACAGCAGTCACAAGAAACATGACAGGGACGGTTTTTGCACCGCGCTGCTACGGCGACTGGAGTCGCAATGATAGCAATGACAATACCAGTGGCACATCGAAACAGCAGCAATGGCAATGGCAGTCGCAGCCTGCAGTTCTTGTGATGGTTGCTGCAACCACCATGCCGGTTAAAAATTCATTAGCAGCTGTTGTTTTTGTAGTCCGACAATTACAATTGGTACTACAGTTGGTGTCGTCAGTATCAATGGCATCTTTCGTATTGTCAGTCTTTATTATCATTTTTTCATGACTACTGTCATCAGTACAGTCATGAGTCATTAGTCAGTCATTGTTCTTGTCGCTTTTATGGGCTCTATTCTTGACATCATGCTTGCCATTTTCTTTGCCACTACGACTATCAGCAACAACACCATTAACGATATCACCGTGAGTAGCTGCACTATTGAGTTTTCGCTTGATGTTATCATCATCACCACCATCATCTTCGTCGTCGCTGTCGTTGTCATGGTCAACGTCTCCATCATCATCGTCACCTCCGTCACCATCACCACCATCATCACCATCATCATCATAGTCCGGCTCATCATGCTGAACATGACCATCACCATTGTTATTGCGGTCAGTAATATAATGTGTAGTACGCGCCACGCTAGGACTGAGCTCGTGTGTTGCAGGACATCAAAGGCAGCGCGAAGTCCTCCCTGGCGCTGCTGTTTCGAGGTTCCGAGGCGCAAGCTTATGCACGGTCTCGTTTCTCATTTATTGTCTCGTAGTCATTGTTTCGTAGTCCCTCCACATTGTTGCTTCTGTCACTAATTATGGCACTACGTGTCGTTGTGAGTGATGATCCAGTGATCGTGATAATTAGTGGTCGTTGTCGTCGTCGTTGTCATGATTGTAGTTGTTACTGCTGCGGTAGTCGCTGCATTTTCCCTGGTTGGTCCTTCAGGGCCCATCAGCCTCGCTTATGGTTTGGTTTGGAGCTTTGGCTCTCCAACATTGTCGATCCTCGAGGCTACGGCCGGCGACGGGTAGCAGGTTTCATATCACGTTGCTCCAAGCCCGCAAGGAGAATCTGAGCTGTGAAGCGGCCTTCGTGGCAGGAGAACAACCGACTTCTCCTCGAGTACAGCTTCGCTGTCTGGTCCGACAAGGACGCCTGCTGCGATGTTCCTCAAATGAGCTGCATAGCTGGGGACACACACACACACACACACACGCACAGTCACATAATTTGGCAAATGCGAGTTCAAGAAATGTTCCCGTCTGCGGTTTTGGGATTGTGGCCTTGCAGGGGTTGCTCATTTTTCGCGCCATGGCGTAATTCCCTGTTGCAGTTGTTTGAGTTTGAGAACCGTTGTTCTGCATTCGGAGTGTTTGTACGTGGAGGCGCGGAGCACGCGGAGCCGCTTGTCCAAGATCAATGCAGCGGCTGGGATGCATTTTTTGAACAAAGGAGTCTTGGTGGTCCCCCTTCACAAGTTTCCAGGGCTGTCTAATGCGAAGCAAGTTTTGGTTTTAAGAACCAGGCCACATAGGTTGGTAACTATGGGCTCAAGACCTCGTTATGATCATGAAATGATTACCCCGCTAATCAGTAGGCTTCCTGGAGAATGGGTGATTCAATGACTTGCCCCATGCCTTCCCAGTTATACCGGGTTTTCAGAATTCAGATTCGAGAGGTTTGTTTTCTCATGGTTCAGATTCTCCACCACGCAAAGGGTGCATGCAAGACTGGGAGCGAATTTACAGACGGACGAAACAGGCACTAGACGCAACCACGATCGCACAAGTGACAGCACGCACAAAACAGAAGTAATTGCATGCCTGATTAGGTACGTACATATGTACTCAGACAAGACATGCATGGTGTGCATAAAGAAGTAATTGCACACACATACATACATACATACATACATACATAGATACATACATATATATATATATATATATATATATATACGTATATGTATGTATGTATGTATGTATGTTTGTATATGTAAATATGTAAAATGCACAGATTACAAGACCGTGATCACCAAGTCGGTATACTGCGAATATGGAGGTCTGCATCTTCTTGTTCCGCAGCGGTGCAGCCTAGCAGGTGGTGGCGATCCTCGACGGTGACGAGCGAATCCTCGTGCGGACGGCCTTCGCCGTCTGGACCCTGGCATGTCACCAAAAGGTGATCTGTATTATTGTCTTCCAACTGCTCATAGTTCCGACCTGCAGTAACGAATCTTATTCGGTAGCTTGACAGATCAGCAGATAGACTGGTAGGTAGGTAGATGGATGGACTGATGCATGGATATGTAAATGGATAGCTAGGTAGGTTCATAGATCGATGCAGGATAGATGCTTCGGTAGATACTTAGTCAGAGAGATAGATAAACAGACAGATAGCAGCTAAAGAGACAGACAGACACAGACAGACAGATCGATGGATGGACGCATGGACGGCCGGACTGGCGAACGAACGGACGGACGGACGGATGGATCGATGCATGGACGGATGGATGGATGGATGGATGGATGGACGGATGGATGGATGCATGGAGGTCTGGATGAGTGCATGGGTGGATGGGGGTATGTGTGCATGGGTATACGGATTGGATAGGATGGGGTAGGATCGTAGGATAGTGTAGGAGAGGGACTGCTACAGGGGAGGAAAGGAGAGGTGAGGGCCGGACAGAGGCGACAGGAGAGGACAGGACAGGGGACAGGCGACGGGGGACAGACGCACATAGATAGATAAATAGAAAGACACACATTTGTAGACATGCACATGTACGCAACGCCCCACACACACAAACACTACTTATCTATTCTGTAATTACTGTTTACTTGTCTACCTGTCTAATTATCCACCTTTCCATCCATCCATCCATTCATCCAGCCAGCCATCCATCCACGCATTCATTTGTCTATCTGTCTATCTACCTATCCTACCTATCTACCTATCTACCTGTCTACCTATCTACCTATCTACTGATCTACCTAGCGACTATCTACCTATGTATCTATCTTTCCATCTATCTTTCCATCTCTTTAATTATTTATCTATCTGTCTATCTGTATTTCTATCTGCCGATTTGTCTATATACATACATACAAATCATAACAACGAAACAAATGCAGCACACATGCATGCATACTGACGTCGTACATACACTACACTCGTTCACACATGGTGAAGTGCACATGACCAAATGCAAGAACTCTGAATCTTAATTCTGTGGGCTGCTACGAGGCCTTCACTGAGACTTGGCAGGAGTCGAAAACGACGAAGAAGGAGCGTTGGTTTCGGCATCAGGGTTCAGGGCTTTCGTTTTTTCAGGAAATGAGCGGTTTAGTGTTTTGGATTACGTTTGGGGGGTGGGTGCTCAAGGTTAATGTTGCGGTCAATTAGTTGGCTTGGTGTATACTGCCGGGACTCCTTACTGGACAGAGTCGGCTGCGGCCCGTCTCTAGAGCCAGCGCTGACAGGTCTGTTGCGCCGGTAATATTGAAAAGCGTTGAACTCTTTGTGTGCAAAGCTCGATTTCTTCTAAGGCGTCGTATCGTAGGAGCGCCTCGAACACTCGCATTTTGTGGACAGTGGTCCTTTGAGAGGCTTAGGGGGAATTCGGGACTATGAGCCCGCACCAGAGTAATCTCCTCCTACCCTTCTGGCGCATTCGGGGCTGCCCCCTTGCCCTCAGTCATGCTTCTTTTGCGTTTCATGGTGATCGTGATGATGAGGATGACAACGATGTTGCTGATAAATGGTGATGGTGGTTCTTATGTCTGACATTGCTGCTCGCATTCATACGCATAGGAAGTAACTACAAGAAGAGCCAGGAAAACAAGGAGAGCCGTAGGAGAACCACAGGAAGCATCTAGGAAGCCAAAGAGTAGAAACAACGAAACAGATCAGGCAATCCACAACAATCAAACGCCTAAAGAATCATGTTCTTAGTATTTTTCCCTAGTTTGTTCGGAAAATACAAAGAATGGCGGAACACTGGGGCAACATAGATGACAATGCGATAAGCATGGTATTCATCACTCTTGTCTCGTTCGTGTCTTGGTACTTTGTTTAAGGTTTTGGGGATGAGCCCTAAACCCTAAACCCTAGTCTAGGGGTGAGGAGCTAAACCCGAAACCCCCTCTCTTGCCTGGCTTCGCCATGGGAAGTCCCGGCCCGAGCCAAGCGAGGCGCGGCGAGTGGGCCTGGAGGGTGCCCTGAGGGCCCGGCTCTTGGCGGGTTTAGGGTCCTAGGATCTAGCATGGTTTAGGGTTTCGGGTTTAGGGTTTAGGGTTTAGGGTTTAGGGTTTAGGGTTTCGGGTTTAGGGTTTCGGGTTTAGGGTTTAGGGTTTAGGGTTTAGGGTTTCGGATGATTTACTTTTCCTCGAGCGTGCAGGCTTGTCGCTGTCTGCGTGCTGCCAAGGCAGCCGAGTTGGTGAAAGGAACCTCTGGGGAAGTGCTGCTGCACGGGCCCCGACATATTCCTCGGAGGATACGAGAACCTTGCATAGCGGGCATACATGGGCCTTTGACTGCCAGGGAGGATGGTTCATTCAGAAAATGTAGAAACGAGAGGGTTTCGTTCACACTGTTGCCAACAGTCGTTGC